GCATGCGACTTGAAGACGACATGTGACGTGTTGAGGCTGCCTTCAGTGTGAAAATTGAGTCGACCTTTTACAAATGAACATTATTACCAGTGCTTACATTAGTCAATGCAAATTCTGAATGCTCAGGATACCTAGCAGAACCAGTAAGCTTTGAGAAGTCCCAACTCGCATGGTAATATTATATGGTAACTGCAAAACCTTCGGCATAGACGACTTAGACGTGCTATTCAGCTGATCTAGGTGTGATAGTGATGCAATTATTTCAACTAACTGCCGTACCTAGTGTCCTAGGGGGTCCAAACATTATGTGTATGATTGTTCTCTGTGTCACCTCGTTGGTGATTGAGCCACGCCTTCGGAACACGAGGGCATCAACCCTGTCAATGGCAGTGCCTGGATGATGCACGTTGCCGTTTCCTAGATGCAGAAGCTTGGACATTTGGCCTCGTGTTTTCCTCGAGTTTCAGGTTTGAGGACAAACAGTCCGACAACACCGTCACCTCTACGCTTAGTTTAACGTGCCGAACTGTTCAGTTAAGTCCAAGAAGATGGAACCGCGCCCCACGGTTTTCAAGACGACAAAGCCTGGATGGAGTCGACGGCTCTCTGTCGGTTTTTCCCGCACGCCACGATACCTATTTCGTGTTTATGACGCCAACTCGCGCGGGATCACATCGACATCGGTCGTCTCATCAAGCTACTGGAGTCATCACACGTCGAGTTGCGAGAAGGATCTCTTTAGCGGTAGATTCAGATTCGGCATCATGGAACTCTACGATCATTTGAAATGGTTCAAGATGAGGGATTGCGACAGTAATCTGGTATCATGGACGAGCTCGCTGCTGTTCGCTATTCAACTAGGCCTCTACAAGCACAGCACCCGACCTGTTTCGAAAAACGAGAACGACTTGTCGAAAATCTTTGTCCTCATGATCGATACCACAAAGTTTCCTCGAGGAACTTTTATTCGAGACAGAGATGCCATGGAATTCTTCCGTGACACCAGTAGTTCATGGACTTCCGATTTTGAGGCATTATATCAAACAAGGACGGAGACCGACTTCTACTCCGGCGAATACCTATCCCAGGGACAATTTTCGGTGAAGGGAAATTGCAGCCAAACTTCTCTCCAGAAATTGATCGACCACGGCCTTTTTCGGTTCTGTCCTTACTTCATAGAGAAAAGACATTGGGCTGCCCTAGCGTCAAGAGTTGTCGAAATACGTCGGGAGCACTTTAACGACGAATTGCCCACAAGATGCTTCCGAAGAAACGAGCGGACTGTAGGCCGCGGGGCTGTCGTCATGGCGCAATCCTGCTTAGGCGAGAAATTTGCTTTACCTTTCGCCCTGATGATACTGGCCTTATCGCCAATCAAAAAAGTTAGTCGGGTCCTGTTTTCAGCCATCACTGGCATGTTCTCAGGTAAGAAGATACTACCGCGCTAACTGCCCTCACACTTTAATGTTCATATAGAGACACTGCTAACACTGGTTCATGATACGTGGTCTGCAGAGAAGGAGCTCGACTGCATTTTGCCACAGAACTTGATGATTGATATCAAAGATCTCATCGAGGTGAATGATTTTGACGGCTTCGTTTACGAGCTCAATAATTTTCGACAATATGCTTGGGCAACTGACCCTGCCGACAATGATTGCAGGCTACTTAGGTCCAGGGCAGTACGAGCATGGTTGGCATGCAACAGGGAAGACGAGCCATGACACGAAGTTCTTTTGTTCGGTCGGGTGAATGAGCTTAGATATGGTGATTGATCTGGGATTTTGAAACGACAGGCAGGCTAACATAGGTTTTTATCATCCTTGTAGTTTGTTTACAGCTGATATGCAATCATTGGCTTCGTCAAGAGAGCACAATCATGGTGTTCGATAACCGCCACAATCAATATTCAATTCGTTCTTATTCAGAATCACTTCGGCTGCTATCCCGTACCCTTCAGTAGAGCCATCATTTTGGCAACTCCGATGCTGCGGACCTTGATTGTCTTCCACGCGCTCAGCTGGGCCGGTGAGCTCTGTGGTCATGGTACTAAGAACCGCCAACGAGAAAAACGAGCATCCTTGATGTTTTGACCAAGGATTAATCAAGGGCATACGATGTCTCAACTAGAAAGTCGTACCTGTTGGTTCGAATAATTAAGCATAGTCTTGTCATGACAGTTGAACTCGGTTTCAAAGACAACAGTTTGTTTACTATATACCAGAAGTGAGTGATCATCTACCCAAACAAAATCCAAAGTAAAAGAGCAAAGTAAGACATAAATCCCACAGACCAAGACGCAATACCACCAAATGCAATTCAACCCTATCCCTCGCCATGCATATATCACCACCGCGAAGCATGAAAACCCCTCTCTTGGAGTGCCCCATCACCTGAGGGCTTAGAAGCCGCCAAGGGGGTTGGGGTTAGGAATAACCTTGCCAACATGCTTAACCGGCGGAATCACCAGCGTCGCCTTGGCCGCGAGCTCCTTGTGCTTCGCCAGCGAGAAGTCCTGGTTGTCAAAGTTCTGGTTCACCACGCCGACCATGCCCGCGTTGCAGTGCGTCATGGCGGGCTGCGCGCAGTAGTACCAGATGGGCTTCTTGTCCTCCACCACAATCTGGAACACGTCCGGGGCCTGGCCCTCGGGCGTGAAGAACTCGAAGCCCGGGAAGAAGCCGCTGCCGTCGGCGAGCGGCTGGCACGGGTTGCCGAAGCTCGACTGCGCGACGGTGTGGTTGCGCGGGAGGAAGTGCCACTCGACGACGTCGCCGATTTCCGCCACGACGTTGTCCGGGTCGAAGCGCAGGCCGCCGAGGCCGGCGACGACGGAGTGGGTTACGCCGGTGAGGTGGGTGGTGCGGGTGGCTTTGGTGCTGCCGGTGGTGGTGGTGGGCGCGGCGGAGACGGCGGCGGCGGAGGCCAGGAGGATGGTGGTGAGGGTCTTGATGGAGAACATGTTTGCGGGTTTTGTTTGGTTGGTTTGGAGATTTGGATAGAGACTTAAGGAAATAAGGAAATGAGATAGGAAAGATGAAAGGAAAAGTTGGGATATTGGAATTGGGTGTTGTGTTTTCTGTGTGATGAGAGAAGAGAAAGTTCATCTCGAGGGCTTCTTGTTCAATTATATACAGCATCTCAACTATACTTTGCTATGGTCAGTTTTGCCAATATCCCAAGTCCTGTTGTACAGCCCACCGGAATGATCCTGTTCCACCGCATCACGTCCTTCCGGTACACACTTGAGGAATCAGCCATGCTTCTCCAGCTTTGCGTGTATTAGCCTGTAATTGTCAGCAGCACCAATACCCGCAGTCCCCGAAAAGTGCCATTTACATAGTCGCACTGCCGAAACACCCCGCCGGATGGCCAATAATCCGGGGGTTCCAACTTGCACTAATTCCTTCTCAACGCCATGTTCTCGCCCAGAAGAAAACGTCAACCGCTGTGATTGGTCGTTTGCCGCGCAAGACGCAGCTTTGGAAGAGAGAGTGCTGACCGCGTCTGACCAGATGAACGGCGCTGGCGTGTGGCGGAGCAGCTGTAAACCGCTCCGCCACGATAGCGCAGTAATAGAAGCGGAAGAACGTTGGTAGTCAGGGTGGCAGGAACAAGTCTAATTTTTATTCCTACGGATGTTAAGACGTAGCGCGGGATCAACATGGCATGTGCAACTTTGTTTCTTTCGAATCCATTCTTGGAACTTTACTCATTGCCGTGAATGATGCTCGAATGAACTGGCCACATGACTAGAGGTCTACATTCAGAGATTCATGACCTAAATCGAGACCTTGAAATAGGCCTTAATGAGACTGCAATGCATAAGAATACCTTGCTACTGGCTACCTTGGCTACCTGATATTATGTCTGGAGTGCTACAGCGTAGCCAGTCCAGATCTTGGCTCTCAGCCCTCAGCTCTCGACAGTAAGCCCTAGGCTGGAATGCCGGAAGGAATCATATCCCGGCACTACTATGGCCAGGGCTGGACAATGCTATTGTGCGACAACTTGTATTTCTATATGTCTGGGGGGAAAGCAGTTCGGCAAAAGTCCCATCTCTCATAGTAAACTTAAGCAAACCTCTGGTCGGCTGCACATATCCGCTTGTAATAAAACTTGACCAAACGTGATCAGCTTTGCGTAGGTCTCCTATTCTCACCCGCGCGTGGTACCGGGGCGAGAACATATCATCTGGGTGTACGTGCCCTAGACAATGCTGCTTCATTTCATCTCCGGGGCTGCGGGCTCTTTGGTGTATAAGTGTGGCGACAGAAATATCCAGACTGGACGGAAGCTGGTTCTCCTTGCCTTAGGCAGCAGAACTCCTGTTGGGTACACAGAGACTCGGTGTCCGCAGGATGCGCCAAGTCCACACACGACGATAGCTAGACCTCGATACCTCCAGCCAACTCTTGGCACGTGGCCATTGTTGTTGGTCTACCATGCATTGCTGTTATCTATAATTATCCCATGTTCATAGTCAAACTGCTCCACGTTCTCTGATTCCTGCGATTGTCTCGCTACATGGCGCTCAGATTCGTGGACCTCAACCGTCGGTCATCATTGTCGTGGCTTTTTGCAAAGTTATGTTCTGAAAACTGTCTTATTTAGGTATGTATTAATCCACCGTGTATCAAGAACTGTCGACTGGCCGGTCGGTATCACGGGCTTCTATAACAATATGATACAATGCCTCAAGACGCAGCACCAAGGGCAGCATCATCATCTTCATGCAATATGAGCAACTTCTAGTGAACATCGACAGTGTCAAAACGGCAAGTTTTGTTGAGCGCAAGTGCCCTGCGTAGTAGTAGAGGTAGATCTTATTCTTCATATGTACGTAAATTGCAAAACCGGTGGTACATGAATCCCCAGCAAAAATTGATTCCCATCCGACCCGACCTGACACCGTTCGCGCCGACAGTGATGCCGCCTCTCGTATTTGATTTCCAACATCGTGTTTAAATCGCCTTCAAATATGTATCTATCCTACGCGTCTACGCGGCCGTCAGCTCGGCAATGCGCCTCTCAATTTCAGGCACCTGTCGCAACAACACCTCGAGGTCCTCTTTCTCGTCCTCGAGCTTCAGCCGCCTGTCGGCGTCGAGCTTTGTGAAGACATAGTTGCCCTGTCCGTCGAACTGCAGGATGCGGGAGTGGTACTTCCACAGACTACGGCGATGGCTGACGGTCATGAGGGTGATGCCCAGGGCCTTGGCATTGTCGTACATGACCTTCTCGGTCTCGAGGGTGACGGAGGAGGTACACTCGTCGAGGATGGCGTAGCGGGGGCGGTGGTAGAAGAGACGGGCCATGGCGACACGCTGTTGGAGGCCGCCAGACAGTACGTCGCGCCACTCGGCCTCGGCGTCCCAACCCGAATCGTAGAGCTCGGGAAGGTGCTCGAGGCCGAGGATGGAGAGGATGGACATGAGGTCGGCGTCGGTAACACCCTTGGCGCGCATTTGGCGGAGGGAGTCCGGGTAGGTGATCTGCTGGCGGAGGGAGCCGCGGGACAGGTAAGGTCGTTGGGGGATGTAGAAGATGTCGGAGAAAGGGGGCTTGTAGACGGTGCCGCCGTAGACAGGCCAGAGGCCGCCGAGAATGCGGAAAAGGGAAGACTTGCCGCAGCCGTTGGGGCCGAAGACGAGGAGATGGTCGCCTTGCTTGAGGGAGAAGGAGAGGGCTCTGACAAGGACGTCTCCGTTGGGAGAGATGATTGGGCTAGAGGAGTTAGTGATGAGAATCGGGGAAAGGAGCTGGATAACTTACACGTTGATGAACTCAATGTCCTTGCTCTCGACGACGGTGCCACGGCCCTTGAGGATGGCCTCGTTGTCGTCGGTGCCGGAGCTCGAGACGAGTTTCTTCTCGAAGCGGCCGGCGCGGATGTCGTTCATAACCTCGAGGAGGGAGTCGACGCGGGAAGTGTAGCCGGCCAACTCCATGATCTCGCGGTAGGAAAACATAATACGGCCAAAGGCGTCTGACGCGGAGAGCAGCATGCGACGGTTGGTGACGAAGCTCTCGGTGCGGTCACCCATGTTCATTGAGATGTGGCCGGGCATCTTGACGAAAACCGGGACGGAGCAGAGCAGCAGGCCGAGGGCACCCCAGAAGTACTTGATGACGAAGTCCTCCATGAAGCCGTGGTAGAAGCGGCGTCGCAGGATGTAGTTGACGTGCTTGATGAGGGTGAAGTAGCCCTTGTCAAGAGTGTCCTTTTCGGCCTCGTGGCCGTGATACAGGGCGACTTCTTCGGAGTGGTCGATGAGGCGGGAGTGCTGGAAGCGGAACTCGCCCTCGAGACGGGCTTCGTCGGCGACGTACTTGCCAAAGGGGGGCGTGAGGGCGCGCATGACGTTGGCGGAGAGCTGGACGAGGAGAGCCATTGAGACAACGCCTTCTCCACCAACGCTGCGGGAGAGGGAGTGGGTGTAGATGGTCTGGAGGTCAGTCAGTACTGGGGATCAGAGTCGACAACAAGATGTGGATGTCTTGTACCATATCCAGGATAGGCTTTGCCAAATTACTGTACAACTCGGCCAAGCTATTGGAGAACTTCGCGACGTCGACCGCGATGAGTTGGTCGGGATTGTTTATCCTGTCGTCGAGAGCGGAGATACCGTAAAAGGTCAATTTGGAGAGATACTTGTCGTGAATGTGCTGTGTTAACCGTGTGCGGTACTTGAGCGACAGCTCTGCTTGGTGGTAGGACAACTGCGTTGGTCAGTAGACTGCCTCCATCGCCGGGCATAGAATTGATGGCATACCATTGAGTTTGTAAACGTCGCCGGGATGGCAATCAGCATCCACCACACGATGCGCATCAGGAACTCCCGGCCGTTACCCTTGACCAAACTCTTGACAATCGCACCGTCCATCGCCGCGACCTTGAGACTGATCAACGTCCTCACGACGAGGAAGAAGGAGTGGCTGATGAGCAGGCGGGCCTCCTTGCTCCTCCAGCCGGGTATGACAATCTTGAGCAGGCGCAGCAGCGAGCGGAAGAACTCGCGGTTGAGCTCGACCTTTCTGCGCTTCTTGGTCACGTCCTCGTCGGAGGGGGCGGCGAGGGTGGCGCGGGACTCGCGGGCGGCGGCGTCGCGGACGGAGGCGGCCTTCTGTTCGGAGATTGCATGGCGGATGCGGTTCGCGAGGGCGACGAAGAGGGTGATCCAGACGGCGCGGGAGATGCGCGTGCGGTTGGAGAGGTAGAGCTGGGTGAGCTGGGCGATGATGTTGCGGACGCTGCGGTCGCCGGACGGCAGGAGGAGGGAGACTTTGGATTGGGCGGCCATGGCTGGGCGAGGGGGGCCCCCGGGATGGGGAGCTGGTGTTTGTGATCGTGGGAGGGAGGTCCGGAGAGGCGATTATCGTGGTTCGGATCGGGTGTTTTGGTCGCGGACTGGTGGAGGGAGAGCGACGGCAAACGGCGAACGGCTACTCGGCTACGTCACCGGCAGCGACTGGGGAATTGGAGAGGTCAGCGCATTCGGCGGTGATGTCGATTGAACGGCCCGTCGTCCAGGGTTATCGTGGGTAGGAAATTCGGAGGTGTAGATTTGAAAGAAACGGGTTCGCTGTCAGCAGCAAAAGGAGGACGTTATTGACAATGGCGGCCGAAGGAGCATGGCTGGTCACACGGCTCTCTTCGGACGACGAGGCGCTGGCCGGTAGCAGCGTTGAAGGTAGGTACCTAGCGGCCCTACAGACAGTGGCAGCAAGACCCAGTAGACTTCCAGGTTAGGTTCCCCCACGACTCGGTTCGGGTGTTTCCTTTGCGCGCGTCTTTGTCCAGCAGTGGAACCGGCTGGGGTTGGCTTCCTTCAGTGGCTTCTCTGTCCCTCGGCCCCGGAGTTGCAGCGGACACCTTTGGTGCGAAAGGGGCCCGCTCCAGCAAAGCCGGCGTTGTGATTGGCGAACCCCGGAAAATGCTGCTGTGGCCCGTCCCCAACTTCCCATGTGAATCGGATGCCGGTTGCATGTGATTTGGTGCCTGGGGAAGAGGGAACTGGGCTTATGTCAGCGGCAACAACACGTGGCGGTGCTGCTGGATAACAGTGTTCAGCCACACCGCGGGGCAAACACCTCCGATGACTTTTTTTTTTTGGTTCCCCTCAACTGCCCAGCGCAAAGCGTACCTAACTGACTGACTCCATCACCAACTTCGAATGACACACACCCCTACAATCCGCAACTGCCATACAGCCAAACAACACCGACACCATGGCCGACGACAACATTTCCATCTACGACGAGATCGAAATCGAGGACATGACCTTTGACGAGGACATGCAAATCTATCACTACCCCTGCCCGTGTGGCGACAAGTTCCAGATTGCGCTGGCCGACCTGCGCGACGACGAGGACATTGCCGTGTGCCCCAGCTGCAGCCTCATGATCCGCGTCATCTTTGACAAGGTAGGATACCGCATCACGCGACAACCGCGGGAGGCGGGGAAATTGTCGAGACTAACAGGAGAGCAGGACGACCTTCCGAAGGACCCCGAAGACGATCCCGAGCCGGCCCTCGAGGAGGCTTCCGCCCAGATCCCCGTCGCCGCCTAAGGTATGAACCGACATGGTTCATTCCGTCCTGAAGGGTGTTAAACCGCTGGGTTATTCCGCTGGAAGCACAGGAAAAAGGGGTTATATGGAGATACAGACCACACATACGGTAGCCGGCGTCGTCTGCCCACGGCTGCGACGTGCACCCACAGCACGCCGTCCTCTGGGACAACAACGCACACTGAATGCCGCAAAAGGGAGGCCGCCAGGCTAAATGACACCGGCACGCTCCCGTACAGCCTCCGCAAGCCCTGATCGGACGATACACCCGTTCGGTGGCACAAGGTCGGGGTGGAACGGCGCACGTGGGTTACTCTCCGTACGCTGAGCCCGTCTTCGATTCGTTGGCGGGGAGATTACGCCGTAATGAGATGGTCGCACTTGGGAAACACGCACTCGACCGCGGCTGCTGTGAGAGAACGAATATTCCTGAAGTCTGATCTGAGGCCTCGGAGGAGATCGTAAGATCAGTGCCCGGCGACGAGGATGCCTGGCTCAAACCTGCGCTCTAGACTTGCGCGGGCATAGTCTGAGCCGAACCCAGTTTGAGATGGTTCGATTGGCGGGAGCAATACTAGTTATCAATTGTTTTGTGTTTGCCAGCTAGCCATTGAGGATGCATTATCCCAAAGCCAGGCAAGATTGTCAACGCATCAACACCATGATTGCAGAATATGATAGTCTCAAAAGTCCTTTGAACAGGTATTCTATTAATTACCACAATTAACCCCAAACCCCTCATTCATTAATCCTCATCAAACCGCTCCCCTTCATAATATTCATATGCAAGAAATGATTAAAGGTTCCAACGCCGTGTGTCCCTTCCCTTAAAAATTCATCATACACATTTTTGCGCTCGTCATTAGAAGCGTGAAACCCGTGAAAACCCATTATGCAGTTTGCTTTGCTCCCTGGCCCGCTTACAGCAGGAAGAGACCGGCGACACCAAAGGCGAGGAGGCCGGCGGCGGAGCCCTTGAGCGCGACCTTGTCGGCGGCGGCGGTGGGGACCGTGACGGGGCCGGAGGTGGTCGCGTTGGGGGCGGAGGTGTAGTAAGTCTGGGTGGCGGTGGAGGTGGCAAGGGTGGCTGTTTACTTGTTAGTCTTCCGTCTTCCACTACAATGCACGGAAGGCTGAAATAAACTCACTGTTGATGGGGGCGGTGAATGTAGGCAGCGTCACGACGGGGTCGGAGACGGACGAGACGGAGGGGAAGGGGACGGGGGGCACGGCGATGGTGGTGGTGGTGACGCCGCTCTCGACGGTGGAGGTGCCGGCGGAGACGGTGACGGTGGTGCTCGGCTCCGGGGTGGCGTCGGCCGCGGAGGAGGAGGCGCCCGGGGTGACGGTCAGGGTCGTCTCGGGGACGGTGGCGGTGACGGTCACGGAGGGGGTGGGCTCCGGGAAGACGGGGAGGGTGATTGTGGTGGTGACGCCGTTGGTGAGGACGATGGAGGTGATGTCCTGAGCGGCGGCCAGAGTGGCGGCGGCGGCGGCGAGGATGGAGGCGGAGCGCATTTTGGCTGTTTGTTGTTTTGGGGGTTGGTGGGAGTGTGGTGAGGTGGAGAGGAAGCGACTGGTGGGCTTATGAAGAGCTAGGTTGTTGATGTTGTTGTTGTTGGGGATGAGGCATAAGAGAGGATGGAATGATCACGACGGGATGGGGATGGATATATACTAGCAAGAATCACACAAACACCAAGACTTCTCAGATGGTGTGACGAGCGAGAGCAGAGAAAGAGAGTAGAGACCACCCCCCGTACGACGACTACGTATGTTTGCGCATTGTGCGAGTCGGTGACAGCAGCGATGCCAAGAATGGCGATTTCTGCGCGTTTCCCCCCTCCCACCTCTCCTCCTCCCCAGGCTTGCACGACATCATCTTTGGGACTGACGGGGTGGAACTCTGCCAGCTGGGTGGTCTTTGGTTGGCCGCAGCAAGGCGAACAGGTATCCGTCCGGCACCACACATCATGGGTATCCGTAAAGAGAAGGGTTGGGCTCTGTCTTCCAGGTGTGGGGGGAGGGAGGGGAAGGGGGCAGCCGTTCCCCGTGCATGCAGGAAGCAGGTTGTTTTTTCCAACGGTCGTTTCGACGACGAGCAAGGCAAGACTCGGTGATGTCTACCGCCTGGGTTCCTGGTTCTGGACCGCGGGTTGCAAGGCCAGCGACCTCCCCTCCCCCCCGGCCCCGACGAACCAGGAACCCTGTTTTGCCTTGAGCCCGCCTTACCATAACACCCCTGCTGGTCGACCCGGTGGGCTACCTACGTCGAAAGTTTGCACAACCTCGAAAGAGGTCGACGCGAGATGGCTAGGATGTGAAGTGGTGGTCGTGATGGGGGCGGGATTTACCCGATGGCTGGGGATGGGGTGGGATGGGGATTGCTTCAAACTTGCACCCAGCGAACAGGAACCGCAGAAGACAAAGTTCGGTATGAACAAAATCGAGAAGTGATGGACGCCCACCACCTCTTTTTTTTTTGCGCTTCTCCCATCCGAACGTTTCATGTAGCTGCCATCCCATCTCATTGGCAGAACCACGATGCACATCAGCTTAATTCTGGGTGACAGAGTTCTGACGAACACCGAGAAACTCTGCCATTTGAAAGCCAGGAAGCCAAGCCCGGACGGAGAGGCATGGGGATGAACCTCACCTCAAGCGCAAATCAGCAGATCGAAGTAGTGACGCCTGCCAACACTCTCCCACCCTGCCGAAATCCCGTCCTCGCACCGCAAACCTCGAAACTATTCAGCATTCATCTCGTCATCTCGGGCCCAGGGTAGATTGAGGGGTTTGTGTGTGACACGGCAAATCATGAATGAGCAAACGAATGGGAAAATCCCCTCCCTCACAGAAACCCAGATTGCTTGTTTCCTTTGCTGCTAAGATTCGATGGTCGCGCCGCGCAAGCGACCAGGCACAGCGCTCCGGACACCAGAAAAAAAGTTGGCGATACCCGATGTCGTGCTCTGTTGCGTCATACCCGGACGAGAAGACCTGCCAGCGAAGTGCACCGGTAGTGTAAACAGCAAAGAAAACAACACTCTGCCAGGATCGAAAGGCCTTGGAGGGCGGCTGCATCGGCTCTCAGCCCGTTCGCTAACTGGCCCATCCCCTCAGGCCCAATGCCATGGCATTTCCCTTTCTCTCCCTCCCACAGACACCTCACCTTCTTCCCATGCATCACATCATGCCCGAATTGACTTCACAGGTTCCTGGGACCTGAACCTGACTGGCCACGAGCGCGGTGACGGAAACAAAAAAGAGGGTGGCAGGGTACAGGGGCGCCGTGTCCCGCCCATCTTTTGCAAGGATCCCAACCAGGTTTTGTTGCTCTGCCCTTCCCCTGTCACCGCCGCTGCCAGCAGCACCCCAGCCACGCTTCAACGAACTCCATCCAATGAACCCGCGAGAACGACACACCAGCCACCTCTTCATCCCGACGTCTCCGTACAACAGCTGCACAACCCCGGCCTGCAAGCCACATCATTTTTCCAGACAACCCCACGAATGAGAGCCGCAGACACCGCTGGACATCGTCGTCACGTCAGGCCCGTTTGGCAGGCCCGGCAAGGCGAGCTAGCCCATGCGGTGACGATGATGGGGCCGGCTCTCAGCTTCACGGAGCGGGCAGAAGAAAAGGACGCACCGCATTCCCTGATTTTGGCAGCTGCACCTGAGCCTTGCTCTCAGGTCGCGATGCCGATGCAGCGGGAGCTTGTCTAGCAGGTTCCCTCCGTGGGCCAAGCTGCCGTTTCCCTTCCCGCCTTGCTCGCTAGTGCCCTCTCTCGCAAGGAACCGAGACCGCCTGGGTGACCCGTGTCCAGCCCAGCTTAGGCCGATGAATCTTGTCGTCTCCTTGTATCATCAGAGTTGAGCGAGTGAATGCAACTAGGATAGATCAATCCAGAGACAGAAACACCATGCAAAGGGCAGGCCTTCTAGAAAGCCATCAGAAACATTGGTCCAAACAGCACCAAGTCCGGATCTAAGCACATCTCTGGCCTCACATCAAAACACGCATTGCAAAAAGCAAAAGCAAGATAACGATAAAGCACATGGACATTGATATCTAACTCATCTTGTATCTTCTTTTTTTGGTCCTTTCATCCTCGGCATCCACACATTCTAACCCCCGTTTATGACGACTCCACATTCGCAAACAAGAAGTTGGGCGCGCCGGGAACCGCTCCCTCGGCGTTGGGCGGCAGGTTCTCCACCGTCGCCCCGGAAATCAGATCCGTGCCCTTCTTGCTGCCCTCCTCGACCGCCACGATCGACACCTCGACGAGGTTCGCGCTGCGCTTCAGGCCGTCCACCATGTCCACCAGCACCGCCTTCTCGTCGAACGCGAGCTTGCGCTCGAGCACCGCGTTGGCCGGCTCGCCCGCCTGCAGACGCCTCTTGAGGCCCTGCACGAACGGCATCGCCTTCTTCATCTCGCCCATCTTGGCAATCTTGCCGTTGAGCGCCTTGTCGTCCACCGAGTTGGTCTCGGGGTTCCACATCTCCTTGAGCAGGTCAATGTAGGCCTGCTGCCACTGCGGGAAACTCTCGCTCATGAAGACGGTGAGCTTCTTGGGCTTCTTGGGGTCGAACGACGTCTCCTTGCCCTTGGCCTTCTTCTTGAGCTGCAGAGACTCGGCCGAGTTGACGTTGGACGCCGTGACGGAGATGTACTTACGCGCCGCGGTGAGGGCAGCGTCCGTCTCGGGAATCTCGGGGAAGGTCGCCTGCTGGATGGACGTCGGCTTGCCGAGGATCTCGACCCACACGGACTCGGCCCAGTGGGGCGCGACGACGGCGATGAGGAGACACTGGAGCTCGATGAAGCGGATGACCAGGTCGTGGTGCATCTTGATCGACGAACAGCTCTCGCGGTAGAAGGACAGGGCGTTGTTGAAGCTGTGTAGTGTTAGCTCGCATCGTGTGTCATTGACGTGAAACCTACTCGTAGAAGGAGGCCTTAAGGGCCAGCTTGTAGGAAGTGTCGGTGTACTGCTGGATGGCCTCCTTGGCGATGACGTTCATCTCGTTGTTGAACACCTTGTCAAAGAAGTTGAACTCGCCAGTGCGGAGCTCACTCTTGTTCTTGACGACATCGTCGCACCACTCTCTCAGGGTGTAGAGACGCAGAATGGCCTGGTTGGCAACGTCCTCCTCAAAGTTGCTGTCACCGTTGGTGTCACCGGCGTCAGCAAGACCGATACGAGCAGCGTCGGCACCGAACTTGCGGGCGACATCCTGCATGGTAAGGAAGTTGCCGGTAGACTTGCTCATCTTCTCACCGTTCAGCATCAAGTGGCCGTTGGTACGGATACCTCTGGGCCAGTACTCGGGGGTGAAGATGGCGAGATGGATGTACAGGAAGAAGGTCAAGTGGTTGCCGATCAGGTCCTTTCCGGAAGAACGGAGATCGAGGGGATAAAAGTACTCGAACGAGCGGCGCATACTCTCAAGAGTGTCCTTGGAGATCTTGCACTCGGAAAGGAGCTTGTCGTCGAGCTCGCGGCGACAGAAGACGTAATCCCAGACCTCGTCAATCATCTGCTCAGCGGAGATGTCACCAGTGCCCTTCTCTCTGCCAAAGATGTCCTTGTGCAGGTAAGGAGCGATGGTGTAGTACGCCATGTAGATGGTACTGTCACTCAGAGACTCGACAAGGAACTGAGGATCCCAAGGCAGCTTGGAGCCGAGACCGTACGATCTCGCGCACGCCCACTGGTTCAGCCAGTTGAGGACACCCTGGAAGGCGTTCTTGGTCTCGTGGCTGAAAGTGTTGAGACCCTTGCCGTCGGTGTTCTCGACCCAGTCAAGAGCAGTCTTCTTCCAGGACTCTTCTCCGTAGTCGAGGTACCACTGGTCCATCAGGGAAACGATACAGTCATCGGCAGAGCGACTCACGACTTTGCGCTCGGGCTCGGAGTAGGCAAAGGCAAGACCCTGGTCGATGAGGGACTGGCGGACCTTGGGCTTGGCAGCCTCGACGGACTCGCCCTTGAACTCGCCAATCTTCATCTTACCCTTGTAGTAGCCCTCAGAGTACGCCGTCTCCTTGGCCTTGTCGAGCTGGACGGTGTCCTTAGGGGAAGCGATCTTGAGCTGCTCGACGAGAGTCTTGGCGATCATGTCACCAGAGGGGGTGTCAATGATGGGGATGATTTCAAGCTCGGCCCACTCCTGCTCAATGCCGTAGTAAGCGGCCTTCTTGCGGAGGTCCATGGTCATAACCCAATCGGCGGGAGAGTCTGAGGGAACAGAGGTGACGACACCAGTACCCTTGGTCGGCAGAATGGAGTCCATGGGAAGGACGCGGACACCGGCCTCGTGAATAGAGAAGGGAGCATGGACACGTGTACCGATCATGGCAGATCCATCGATATCGGCCGTCTGGTCGACAACGCCCTCCTGGAGGAAGAGACCCTGGTAGGCCATGTTGCGGGCAGCACGCAGAGTCATAACGTAGTAGTCCTTCTCGGAAGCCTTGAAGACACCGTAGGTGATCTTGGGGGAAACAAACACGGCGTTCTGGCCGTACATGGTCTCGGGACGCAGAGTGGCGGGGATGAGGAAAACGTTGGCGTCGGCGGGTAGCTTAGACTTCAGGGCCTCCGCGGCCTTGGGAGCCCACTCGAGGACCTTCATCTTGAGGCCGGTGTACTCCTGAGGACCGACACCCTCACCCTCGGCACGGTCGTGGTCCATGCAGGGCTGGCCGTCCTTGATGGAGTAAATGGTGTATCTCTTGCCGAACTTGATCTTGTTGAGCTCCTTGAGGCGGATCATCTGCCAACGGACAAAAGCGTCGAAGTAGGGGTTGGCCTCGGTGGTGATGAACGATCTGCGCCAATCTGTGGCTGTTAGTAATGCACCAGCACTTAGACAACATCAGAACGAACCGATTCTGAAACCAAGGCTGGTAAGATCCTCCTGGGCAAGAGGAGGGAAGAAGGTCAACCAGTAGGAAGCATCGGCGAAGAGGTGAATCTCTTGCCTGGGAATGCCCATGGCCTCCATGATCTGGAACTGGTACTTGGCCTTGACGGTCTTGGCATTCGCCTTGCTCTTCTTGGTCGAGAACTTGGTGATGTCCTCGCGGGTCGCCTTGGCGTCGGCGGGCTTGTCGTCGACGAGGACCTCCTCCTCCTCCTTGTATCCCTCAAAGTCGCGGCCGAACCACTCGACCTCGTTCTTCAGCTTATCGGCGACGGCCTTGATGGGCATGCCGGTCGCGTGCCATCCCATGGGGAACAGGGCGCGCTTTCCTTGCATTCGGGCGACCTAGATATCTACTCAGCTTCCATTCCATCAATCGTTAATATTTTGGGGGTTCTCTTACACCGGCGCTGAACTCAACCTTGGACACGGAGAACAAGTGACCGGCGTGGAGACGGCCGTTCATGTAGGGGAAGGCCATGCATCCCATCCTGTATCCTCGTCAACAACAATCCCCCACGTCACATATCTATCTCGATGCGCCATACCACTTGGGCTGTTGCTTGCGCAGCTCCTCGGCGGAAACGGAGTGCAGGGGCACCTCCTTGGTGGAGGGGGCATCGACCTCGAAGATCTTCTCCTCAGCCCACTTCTGCTGGTACTTCTTCTCGAGGGAGATGAGGAAGTCGCGCTTCTCGGTTCCCTTGAGCTCCTTGGTCTTGGAGACCTGGAGGGCCTCGAGGGCCTTGGCTGCTTCGTTCGCCATGGTTGCGGCTGACGATTTGACTTATCGAGAGAGGGGAGACACAGGGACGAACCCGGTCGATCCAATCGCTTGTTTTAAGGACCGAGTGTGACTCTGCTCGTCGAGGCGGAGGGAGTCACTCTCGTTGCGGCGTAAGTCTGTTCGGAACGGGAGGTTGCTGTTCGATCGCAGGATCTTGAGTCACAACCGGCCACACACAGATTTCGTCGCAGCTCCGATGTTTTTTTCGAGGCTGAGTGTGCCCCGCGATTCGACTTTGGAGGGGGTCTCGCTGCTTGCTGGCGCCGGTGCGGTAATGGCGGGGTACCATCGGGCCACTAGTCACTGGCCAGTCACTGTTGGAGCACTGTCTCGTTTCAACGGTCCCCTCAAAGAGTAAAAGGTACGTACCGAACCCCCCGACGGTCGGGAGTCACTGTAGATGTGGCTAGTGAAAGCCTCGAAGTGTGGCGCATGTGGCTCGGTTCATTGCAGAGCTTCCCCAGTCGCAGATCCAGCCGCCGCACCACCGAGATCTCCAAGTCTTTCAGATACCCGGATGCGCAACTCCAGCCATTGAGCCGCTTTCGCCGTCGATTCCCCGTGAAAGAACATTGAATATGCTTCCCACGTTACTGCGGCGCACCGCCGAATCGGCCGGCCGCAAGTTCGACGTCTTCACCAACCCGTACCGCGCGAAAAAAGTCTGGCCTCCCGATTTCACAGGCCTCTCGCCTCAAGCACAGCTCCGGTTTGAGAAGAAGTACAAGCGCCGCCTGGCATTGGTTTATGCGCGGCCAAGATGGGACAAGGCTATCAAGCTTATTCAGCTGGTGACCGTGACAGGTTGGTGCAGAGCATAGAGGCGTTCCCGACATTTGTGGCTGACGAGCAGCAGGTTTCCTGGGCTGGACGTTCTTGTTTTCAGAGTTCGAGTTTTGGGGCAAGCAGTACCGCCCTTCTGAGGAGGTGAGTGATGTCCTACAACTCGGCATCCAGGCCATGCTAACCTGCCATAGATCCGGAAGCACTTCCGCAACCTGTTCGGCACCATCGACGCCGAAAAACGATACGAGCGTCGCAGAGACGCACCCGAACCCGGGTCCGCCGAATCCCCCAAATAAGGCAGATATCTAGGTCGCATGCATCGGAAGGAGTTCACGGCGTTTTGAATACCCGGCACGCAAAGGGGCCCATGTACAACATCATCCTCCGCAAAACAATAATGGTATTACGTTCCTCTCATGAAGACCTGGCCACTCCTACCTTCCGTGCCAGACAAAGTTGCCTCCCATACCCAAGCCGCCGCCAATACCCGCACTGCGACCCTCGTTGACAGGCCGCTTGGCCACCGTACCCTGCGCCCTGACGCCCGCCACTATCCTGTCCAGATTTGTCTCGATGACGACTCCTCCGTTGATCATTTCGCCCAGCGTCGCGTGCAGCGATTCAAAGTTGAAGATCAGGTCCAGCTCGCACACGTTCTCGAACAGCTTGTCCAGCGCCTCGACGTAGACTTGTATCAGGTCGATGAGGGCGAGTGGGGACTCGGTGGACGTCGAGATGACGATGAAGTAGAGCGTCGCGTAGTTGCGGTATGTGACAAGGGAGGGCACGTCGTTCTGCTCTTCGGAGGAGGAGTGGGAGGTGCCTGATGCAGCGAGTAGGGGCGGGAGGGGGAGGAAGTTGCAGGAGCCGGCGGGACGATTCGATACGAGGGTGAAGATTTCGGAAATCAGGCGCTGTTGCATGCTCGTTTCCTGTGACTGTGTTAGCACTGGGTAAAGCTGCATGACGACCGCCTGCCTCAGGGTGCCGACATCGCATACCAGCTGTGTGTAGAACTTGGTCAGGCGAGGCTGACCCTGGCCGTTGAAGACCAGAAATGCGTTGATCATTGTAACCTGTCCTGCCTGCGCATCCCGTCTCTACGATGTTGAGGTGTTGCTGCTGCTACCACCGTTGTTGTGCCGCGGGTGCTTGTCGACAGCTTCGAGGTTGAGTCTCTTGGTGGGGTGGCCGTTGCCAGCCGCTCGCTGCTTCGAGTTCCCTGCGCTCCAGAAACTGCCACCCAAAAATCGGAGGTGCGCCGCGGTGCCTGGCACATGACTTTCTGATGTAATCCGGTGGAGCGCTCGGACCAGTTGCCGTCCCAAGCTCGCGCCTCCCCTCAACCGCTTTACCGAAGCTGCAGTCGTCAAGCTGCAGTGACGTGGGGAAGCAAACGGCAGCTACCTCTTTCATCGCTTCCCTCCGTTCGCATCGAAACAACTCTCGATCTTCAATATAACATCAACGCCGACTCAATTCGTCACTCAACCCACGAGTCTTGCGATATCGCTCATTGTCTTCCACAGACCGCGCAACAATGGCCCGCAGCAGCATCGCCAAGCTCTCCCGGGCGGCATCCCGCTCCCTCCGCACCTCCACCACCTCCGTCCTCCCGCGCCGCTCCTCTGCCGCCCTCCTCAACGCCACAAAACCGGCTGCCACCGCCGGCCTTGTGGTTCCGGCCCGCAAGCTCTTCACCACCTCCGCCGTCGCGACCCGCGGCATCATGCCCGACACGGATGACCCCAAGGTCCCTGAGACACCCAAGGAGGAGGTCAAGACGAGCGTCGTTGAGCTCTCTGACGCCGACTACCACGAGCTCGCCGACACCTACCTCGAGACCGTCCTCACCAAGCTCGAGGAGCTGCAGGACGCCCGCGAGGGTGTCGACGTTGAGTACGCGGTACGTTGCAAACATCCACCTTTCTTGCGCAGAAAACCTTTCCCCAAATCCCTTCACGTTACCCCAAAATGGAAACCTCAAACTGGCCCGGGCTTCCATTCATGACATTTATCCACAAACAAGACGCTGACCCACCATCCAAAATCCAGGCCGGCGTTCTTAACGTCACCTTCCCCGGCGCAGGAACCTACGTAATCAACAAGCAGCCCCCCAACAAGCAGATCTGGCTCTCCTCCCCCATCTCCGGCCCCAAGCGCTACGACTGGGTCGTCGTCGGCGACTCCCAGAACGAGAAGGAGGGTACCGCCGCCGGCGCCTGGGTCTACGCCCGCGACGGCAGCACCCTCGACGACCTCTTCCTCAAGGAGCTCGACGTGGACCTTAGCATAGCCCCGTCGACCTACGGCGAGGATCAGTCCTAGTATGACGAACAAGACGGTCTCGAAAAGGGTGGCCCTAAGGTCTAGATCCGTCACTTCATCCAGTACTATCAGCCCATGACAGAGTGGGAGCTTGGGTGATGGGGACGATATTTCTTTTCTTCTTTCCCCTCCCGAGCCCCGGGGGGCGAGCCCGCGCGGACTTTCGTCGAGCTGCAAGCGCGGACATGACGTGATGGCTCTTTGACGGCTCAACATGCGTCCGTCCGTCTGCACGGGCGGGACAGTATCGAGCTCGGTGTGTTTGTGTGTGTATCCGTATGTGTGTACTTTAACATGGCAATTGGGGGGAGTTTCATGGGTGGTCTGGAGGAAGCTGAGAGCATCCCCTCCGCTGGGAAAACGAGGGGAGTTGACCAAAGCTCGAGGAAATGGCATTTCTAGCCGTGTATACAAAGAACCATTCTAGCGCTAACATTGCGCCAAATTCAAATCCGTAGGTCTGGATCTACCGGGCCGGATCATCCGCCTCATGGCGTGACAGTTTTGGCATTTCTCACTGATGCACGGAGTGGGAGCACAGTGACCGTCTCTTAAGGATCGTGAAGGTTTTGTGTCCTGAAATAGTAGAGTCTTTTTTCGTTGCTCTATCTACGAATCTAAGCGGTCCTTATCGCTTCAGATGCCATGCCGTCGTGGGATATGAATCAGCGACTGTCGCCACCTTTCCTCCGAATATTCTTGATATTAAATCTGCCCAGCCCGATTCCATACTTTTGCTCACGGGCACGTCACCACATCCTCTCACCATTTCACATAACCCCGCCTCCCGGCGACGACAGAGTCCAACTGCTCACCGTTGCGTCCATAAAAATGTGTGCTAAAGCGACAAGTATTGCTTAGCGAGGGTATCGTTGTGGCGGTTCGTATGTGCCAGTCGTCAGGACCTGCTCTCTTTTTCCCCTACGTTCATTCCCTTCTCTGGTCGTCGTCCATCACATTATCCCGGCAACTCCGACCTCTCCACCGGCGCAGGCAACTCAATCGCCGGGCCCTGCTGCGTCTCCGGCATCTCATGCAGCCCCCTCGGCGCAGGCATCTCCAGCATCTCGCCAGCACCCGCACTCTGCGCCGCACCCATCGTGCCCTCGGGCTTCTCCGGGTCGGCGTTGTGCATCGCGGTAACGAGCGCGACGTCGCGCTTCCTGAGCTGCCTCTCGCGCCTCCAGTTCCAGAACCACCCGAGAGCGACGACGAAGAAGACGAGCCCCGCGGTCGCGCCGACGGATATGCCGATGACCTGGCCGGGCGTGAGGCCTGACTGCTGGAGGATGTTGTTCGGGAACGCGGGCCCGTCGTTGGAGGAGCTGCCTGTGGGGAAGGAGGTGGCCTCGGGCGTGCGGGTGGCTTCTGTCGAGGCGGTGGCCGAGGGGCCCAGCGTGAAGCTGGGCCCGAACCGGTTGGTTGGGAAGGGCAGCGACATTTACTCGGTGCCCAGGGAGAAGGATGGGCTGCTGCTGTGGGAAGCGCCGAGATGAGGTGGGTATCTGAGTAATAGTCTTCGTACTGTCTGGGTATTTGTTTACTATAAAGACGAGACTGGAGGCGAAGTCATGCTAAGGGCCGGCCGGAGTAGTGGAGTGGTGGTGGATGTGTGGTGTAGGTCGGGTGGGAAACAACCAGGAATCCAGGAAGAACCAGCTTCGACCCTCCCTTCTTCCTTTCTCCATCCAGCCTGCGGAAGATGACGGGGGGGCACATGCCTTTTGATAGAGTGTTTGCCTCCCCTCCCCCCATGTGATGTCCGGCGACCATGGCGGCGTTTGGGTTGGGCTTTTCCTTGGGAGGAGGGGGGGGGGAGAGAGGGAAGAAGGAAAAGAAGGAACGAAATGCAGGAGCAAAAAGCTCTCGGGCCTCTGGCGTACTGAGACGAAGCCAACACGTCAGATCGCAGGCCGTGTGTCTGTTGTTTTTCCCCTCTCCCGGTTCCTTGGGTGCTGCTGAGTTGCGGTCCCTTTGCTGTGGCGTGCTGCCAGAAAGATTATAAACAGGCTCTAGGGCGCCTGTCAAGTTTCCAAGACCGACAAGACCGGCTTGGGAGTGCTGGCGCAGAGACAAGAGCGAGGGTTGTTAGCGTCGTTGATGATCGGTCGGGCTGGCTGTCAGTAGGCCGTTCGGTGGTAGGGGGTGTTTCGGACCTTTCTGGCGGAGACTAGCACGGCGGCGCAAAGCCCGAAGATGGGATGAGACCACCCCACCCCGCCGCCGCCGTGCGCCGTCTTTTCCCCCAGGAGTTCGTCAGATGGGAGGGTCTGGCGAATCAGGTGGCCGAAAGCTGTCAAACTTGTTTGCTTTTTTGCACCCTGCCCATGCAGGAGGTGTCACTGGGATTTGCTTTTGGCTTTCAACCTGCATGTTGCTGCTGGCAGTCCTCGAGCACAGAGTTGGGAAAGGCGAGCCATTCCGACCAGTAATCGCCAAGATGCGCCGAGATGGAGCGGATCATGAACTGACCCGCGTCGCAAAACACCCAGTACCCGCGGCACCAATGGAGGAGCACGGCATAGTAAGCTAGGATAACGAGTGCCTCCGGGCGGCGCTGCTTGAGGACGTCGATGAAGCCGGTGGTGATGCGGACGCCAAAGGCCATGACGCCGGAGGACTGGTGGCTGCTCCGCTCGGAGATGCTGCGGTAGATGGCGTAGGCGTGGCGGAGGACCTCGGCGGCGGCTCGGCAGGCCTCGAGGGATGCTGGGCCCAGGTCGGCTTGGTCGAGCATGCGGTGAATGGCGTCCATCTCGGGAACCTGGGCGTGGGGCTGCCTGGCCTCGAGGAAGTCGATGAACTCCTTGGCGCCGGACTGTCGGATGATGTGCCAGGAGCGGCCGGTGACGGCGCTGACGCCGCGGTGGAGGCTGAGATACCAGGCGAACTGGTCGAGGAAGGCGTTGAAGTCGTCGCGGTTGGTGCGGAGGGTCTCGCAGAGGACCTGGGTGCCGACGGTGGAGGAGAAGAGAAACATGGGGATGCAGGTGTCCTCCGAGACCTCCTCCTTGGCCTCGTTGAAGAGCATGAGGCCGCGTGTCTGGAGCTGGGCGGCGTGCTGGTGGTAGACCTCTGCGCGCGCCGGGTCTGTCTCGGTCTCGGCCAGATGCATGGCTGCGTGGGAGAGCATGATGTCCATGAGGTAAGGGGCGCCGAGGGCGGCCTCCATGCTCATGTCCAGCATGGGCCTCAGGAACTTCTCCTCGCCGACGAAGGTGGGCATGCCGACCTGGAGGTGGCGGAAGAGGCGCAGGTGGTCGAGGGTGAAGAACTGGCCGTTAGCCGGGCGCAGGACCTCATTGGACTCGCCGGAGCGGGTGACGAAGTCGTTGACGACGGCGGTGATGGAGGGCGAGGAGGCGGAGGTGTAGTTGCCGAGCATGGGCACCTGGCTCCCGCTCGCGCTCGTGCTCCCGGGGCTCTGGGCCGGGCTGTAGCCGCCGGCGACGAGCACTCGCTTGGCCGGGACGGCTGAGCGGGCCGATGCCGGGAGGGAGTCGAGGTAGGAGCAGTGCCGCTCGGCGGTAGCGCAGTTGACGCATGTCGGACGCGTCTCGTCGCACTTGACATGGCGGCGCTTGCATTCCTTGCAGCCGTTGCGAGACTTTCTGTGCGCCCGGCGAAGCTTGACGTCACCGGCTGCGGTTGCCGCTGGCGTAGCAGCCTCGTCGCCGTTGGTTGAGCCCATGGCCGGGGAGTGGTTGCGCGTCTGGGGGGCCATCCTCACGCGCGTATAGAGAGCGGGACGGGGGGAGGAGGGGTTAGAGGACCGGTCGACGGGGGGTCAATGGCCGGACACAAGCCATTGAGAGGGCGCGGCGACAAGAGGAGGTCGTGCGGGTGCGGCGACAGGTGGTTCTTTTAAAGGTGGACTATGAGGTGGTGATGTTTTTCAAGAATGCGAATGCGAAGCGGACTTTCTTTGCTTCAGCCTTTTTTTGGTGGGGGAAGAATATGCTTAGTCTACAGGCTTAGGGAGGCAGTAGGTGAACCCCGCCCACCTCACCTGAAGAAGGCGCCCAGGCGGTTCGGCAGATGCCGCTAGAATATAGCGATCCCTGTTAGTGGACCGTATCCCTAATCCAACCCGTTTGTTGGGTGCTACCTCTGCTACCAAAGGGCCCCTCTGGGGCTCAATGCACCGAAGGTCGCCCCTGAATCAGCCCGCGCTGCGCCCTGTCCACGCGTCCCTTCCCCCCCTATCAATGCCCTAAATGGAAAGTGCCGCCTGCTCTAATGTGCGTTCCCTGCTGTCGTTACTGCATCTCTAATCCTGCCTGGAGCCAATGAAGAACACGGCGAAACCAATTACACCGCAGTTCTGCCGTCCTATTCCCGCCCTTCCATGTTCCCTTCTCTGCCACCTTGATTATTATTCAGGAACTGTCCGATAGTCTCCAGTCTTTCCTGTCTCGTCCTGGCCGCTCTCCGACGTTACACCACCTCCGTGATCCACCGGCAATGATTACAATCTCTCCGGACTACTCCGTCCTCCACATGGGACGTCTGCCTCGCTGGCTCTTGCCCTTCACCTCATCGACTTGCGCATCGACCGCTGCTGCGTGTCCTGCTCCGTCATGTCGAAGCCCTCGACGTCCGAGGTCGACTGGCTGCCGTTCTTACGAATCTGGAACGCACTGGGGAAGCGCCAGCCGAAGACGACCATGACGAGGAACATGAGCATCGCGTCAAAGACGTAGAGCGTCCACTCGTGCTGCAGAGGGTATCCGTCTCCGCCCATGAGGTACTCGATCAGGCGGAAGATGGATCGCACCATGATGAGACAGCTCACGGTGTACAGCATCCACAGGCCAGACTTCCATGGCGAGTTGCCGCTCGCAGAGGCCTCGGTCGGGTACTTGGCCAGGCGCGAGTGGAAGATGATGGACGTCAGCCAGAAGATGCCGAACAGCACGATCTGGATGACGAGACCAGCCACGATCAGGTTCTGGCCCATCTTCTGACTGCCGTCCTTGACCATAAGACCGCCACCGCTGGCCTGCACCAGGAAGGAGAAGCAGTCGCCCGCGACAAAAATGCGCGTGAGCCAGTTGACGCGGATCACCGAGAGCGACTCGCCGTGGACGGAGCGGATGATTCTTCCCAGCGTCATGTAGACCGAGGCGGCGAAGAGCGCGGGCGCGACGAGGATCGTGATGCTCTGCATGACGTAGGGGCCGATCTCAGCGGTGCGCTCGCGGGCGATGGCTCGGCCTGCGTATCCGATGATTTCAACTGCGAGAGGACGCTTGTTAGTACCCATGGCAAATGTCAAACATTGACGAGGAATCCCGCCTGGGACTTACGAATGCCGCCAATGACAAACACGATGCAGAACCACGTCTTGGTCCTCGCAATCATCCACGCGTGGTAGAGGGTAACCAGGACGAAGAGCACCTCGAAGATGATGGCAGCCACCATGCTGGGCACATAGTGCCAGAGGTAGTAACCATTGTGCGACTGGAGCTCCGGCATATTGGATAAATCTCAGCTTCCTCCCGTGTGGTGATTTTTGGTGTTTCGGGGTACAGGACTCTCGTCAGCGTCTCTCGATCAAGTCGTCTCGTTGCTGATGGTGATGATACTCCTTCTCCCTTTCGTGTTCGTGTTGCAGCTGTTGCATTCGCCAAGGCACAGGGGAATCGAATACAGCCATCTTTATAGCGGAATCCCAGGTGCCTGGGAAACGAAAGGAAATTTGGTCTCCCGTCCGCGAGGCCGGATCCGTGTACCGGAGTCTGGAGAGGCTGTCGCCATCTCTTCCATACGCGTTTTTCGCCCAGGCAACATTCGACGGGCGAAGCTTTGGACGTTCAACGAGGCCCCGCCCGGCTTCCCCATATGGACGTATACGTGGATGGAATCGCCCGTGATTGGACGACACTCGTAAGGATGTCTGATCCCTGCTAGCCCTTCGGGTGTTGTTGCCGGCTTTCAGTCTCGGCTCGCCAATCACGGCTCCGCCCATACGCGTATCCGCAGCGGGAGGGCTGTGGCCCAACAGGCCCGACTCAAAACAAGCCTTTTTTTTTCTGATTCGTTTGGTGCTGGGCATAGGGCCATGATAAGGATCACCCCCCTTTGACGGGCTGACGCAAGCCCGCTTAGCCATTCTTATTCCCTACTGCAGCTCTTTTTTACGAGTATTGCTAGGGTCTGCTACGAAACAAACACCCCACGCACGTCGATCGGGGCGGATACACGCGTAGAGCACCTGGACGTACGGCTTAGACATATTTTTGGTGTTTGATTCCGGGGAACCATGCCCGTTGGGATAGTCCGCAGCATGCAACGGTATCGGCCCACGCTTCGTATGCTTCTGCTACCCTCGTGGTCAGCCTGATTGTTGGGACGAACCCCAATCTGCCCCGTCAAGATGCCGCCCCTCCATGGGTAACCACTATATCTCGGCATCCAATATTCTCCTTGTCATCGCCTCCAAAATTGTCTGATCATGAGCATTCTTTTACAAATGGGTCAGGGAAGCCAGCTGTTATGGCCGCCGTTGTCGCTACGAAACTGACTCGGTTGGAGAAAAACCATTCGGTCATAATCTCCGACCAGTCACATCAAAAAGTGCCCTTTACGACTAAGTTGCTGTTCAAATTAAGCGTAAACCTTTTATTAATTAAGACGATAATATAGTATAGACTTAATACAGGTTTTGATCGTCTGCCCAATGAAAATATTTGTATTTGACATCACAACTGGTTATCAAAAGCCAATGATAGGTTGCCCTCGAGCCAAACTCAGGCTGTTCTTTACAAACAGTATTATAAGTAAAAGACCGGACTTTTGGTCCTGGACGATTGGTCCCTGGGCAATCCTCGCGATGAATTGCTTTGCCATCGTCAATCTATGATCTAGAAACGTTTGTGTAGCACGGGTCATCCTGTTCACCACTTCCCTTCTCCCCTGTTTCTTCCGCTGTTCAGGTCTATTCCCGACTAGATCACTGGCCAAAGGAAACGCTTCCCGAGGTGCAAATATGTTCTCTACAGACCACCCGAACCTAGATAAATGGGGTCCGCTCAGATGTCTTGTCCTTACAAAGCACAACGAAGATGGAGCGGGTGAGCCAACCAGAATCTCAATTACGGCCGCCGCCGGGGAAACGTGGGGGATCAGGACGTTGGCCGGGCTTCGGGCTTGGTTGTTTCGGCTGGCTCTTTTTCCCCTTGCCCTCTCGTTTGTATACGAATGCCTCATGGAGGAGGGCGTGGCCGGCGCCTGGTCCGGCTCTGGCCTGGACAGCGTGCGGAGCGCGCGAGACGTCCTAAGGATGTCAGTAGTGTTCGTCATGACTCCATTGAGAGAGGAGACTTACATCGACAGCCATGACGGCGCCGAGGAAGAGAGATAGAATCAAGGCGGGACGCATGGTGAAGGCTTTTCGTACGGTAGGGTTTGTAAAGATAGGGTCTTGGAATCAGCAAAGTTGTGCAGATAACAAAAGGCTGAGTTTAATGCATCTGAGCCTAATTACACGGAGGAAACAATGGCCATTTATACCCAAGATATCTAGTATGCCTTCTTATGATCAGCTGGATAATGCTCCGAGTCCGATCTGTCCGCCCTAAACTCAGAAAGTTTCAGGTGGACTGCAAGAACTCTATATCTCACAAAGAGAAACCCTTACTGCGATAAAATCGTAGAGTCATGAGGCCGTTTGAAGAAAGGGCCTTCTTGCGAAGACCGATGGGCAGAAGCCGGTGGGATCTTACATAGCAGTGTTCTCCAGAGCGCTCTAGTTGCTAAGGTTTGCGTTTACTGAAACATTGTCCGTTATCAACGTCCTAGTGACACAAACCACAGTAGAATAACCCTGCGCAAATGACTCGATAACTGGGAGCCTCGTATTTCGATATAAGGCGTTACCATCGATATCTCCGAGTCTTAGACTTTGAATCACTGTGAACATTGCTATAAGGCCGTCTGAAACTTGTGTACGGGATGTAAAGAGTAATAAACAAAAAAGGAAACACCGACAAGATAGCATCCAGGAACGTAGTTCTACGCACCACCATGAACGATGCTTGCTTCAGCGCTCAAAAGTCCAGACTCCAGTCCTCCAACCTGTTCCCTGACCATTCATTGTGATGGTATATATCGACCGCGGCCTGCAAATCGACCTTTGGCCCCCTGCGTGTGCTTATTTCGACATTCCAGCTTACTATGCACATCCATAATCACGACAGCCTGCCGAAAAGGCACCATATTTCTAAAGGAAAGCATTACTGTATCTACCGGTCCAAGATCCTCAACATCACCAATTATAAAAAGTAAACACCAAGGTCACGCAACCCTGCTTCCCCAGGTTCGAGCGTCCCCAGATTGACGGCGGGGTGGGCAGACGTCTCGGTTTCCGAAGACATCGCACACGATGCCCGGCCTTGAAATGTTGTGAATGTGCGAGTCTTGTCCATGCCGGGGGACATGAATGTAGCAGCTGCCAAGGCGCCAGTCAGAGGAGGAATAGTTGATCTTGACAGGTTTCGAATGCCTGAGTCTTACTAGTGACGGGGGGTGAAAGGACCACATTCGCCTTGAAGCCAATCACCAGCGGCATGGAACATTCAGTATTCGTATGTATGATGAAAATGATCAAGGACATGGTTCTTGACCTTATTGATGTTCTTGTTATGGGGATTGATTGTTTACACGGTAATTTGTGAGCACAAATGTCCTTGCACGATGCCGTCGTCGTCCGAGGCAATGTCTCGAGACGAAAACACTAACAGGAAAACATATCGAGCAACAAACCTTCACACAAGAATAACCATAATAATTGACAGTTACATTCCACTATAGCTATGTGTCATGGTGCCAGGGAGGAAAATACTTCACCAGAGTCTCTCTGCGTCACGCAGAAGACATAAAAGACCCCAGTTGCTGATTACGAATTACGCCCTCTGCAGCACTGCAGTCCATTTTCAGTTCCAACATAACATCCGTCTCCAAGCAATCAAACATATTCTGCAGTAACTGTGTTGTAACGAGAGTCTGCGGACTATTAGTGACCGTGTGTCAAGTGTTAAGGGCAAGCGAGACTTACTGTTGTACAGTAGTGTGTAGGTTGTCGAGGCGGACAGATACATCGCCTCGATCTTGCAGCTCAGCTCGTAGTACCATTGTCCATCAGACCCCTGGCGACGCGCGAGCATATTCTCGGGGATGTGACTGACGTCAGCCTCAACGTGCACGAGCATGGAAACGTTATCGTCGCGGGCCACAGGAGCCGTCCGAGGTGTGCGATCGGCGTAGATGTCCATCTTGATCTTCTTGATGCGACCCTGGCTGACGAGACCAGTCCACACGAAAGAAGTGTAAAATGGCTCGTTCTCCGAGACATTGTCTCCACGCTGGATGAACCATTCCATTGTGTACACTTTGTAGCAGCCATCAAGGCCACACCAGTGACGCTTGCTTTCGACATGGCCATGGATCTTGGGGTCGTACTTGGTGCGCCATTCGGTTCCGTAGTGCTTGCGGGCCTTCCGGTTCTGAACTCTGACCTGAGTAAGGCGGTCGGGAGATACTTGAGCAAGTCCCTTCATGACGGCACCTTGGACGACAGCTTGCCAGGCGTTCGGAGGCTGCATAATCTGAATGTTCCTGTCAATAGCGTTGCGCAAGCGTTCCTTGAGGTAATTGGAGGCGCCGAAACCACCGACCAGAAGCACGGCCCGGATGGGCACGCCGCTGGTTGTGATCTGGTCCTTCACCAATTTGATACACTCGAGAACCACGGGCTCAAAGATGGTCTGCAGATCAGATGCCTTTAGGGCGAAACGACCACGGTTGATCCCAAGCTCTCGGTTGTTGTTGAGACCGCCGACGGGGATCGTATAGGTTTCGTCCGGGGCAGCACCCAGGGTGAACTGGCGCTTGACCTGCGTGTTGTCAGTATCAGCTGCTCTAGTAGAGCAAAAGAACCTACCTTCTTCTCGAACTGCTCCATGGCCTCTGCCATTACCTCGTCGTCGAAGCCCTCTTCCTTGCCTAGCTTCGCCTTGAGAAACTTCGCGAAGCGCATGTTCAGGAAGGTCGAGCCACACAACGCACCCGATCCTGGAGCAGCCTCTTGGACCTCCAGGATAGGCTTTAGGCCGGTGATTGTGTAGGAGATCAAGTCCACCGTACCACCGCCAGCGTCGACTACCACGACAGTGTCGCCGACCTTGAGGCCATGAGGGTCGAGACCGTGCAGAGCGTAGATGGCTGCCGCTTCGGGCTCAGAGACGAGGTGAATGGGTGACTTGGAGCTGGATAGACCCGAGGCCTTCTTGCACGCTTGCTTCGTCTTCTCTTTGGCCAAATCGGACCAAATGGCGGGGACAGTGACAACGAACTCGAGGGGGGTTGTTGTGACGACTTGTTCGCCAAGCTTCTCCCTCAATGTGTACATGAGGTGCTCGCCAAGAGCAGATATGTAGTCAGTGACTAGTTTGTCGACGTTTCGACCACCCCTAGCCTCCGAAGAGACGGCCTGTCCCATGCTCTGGAGGGAGGGGTCAAGATCGCTGCAAAACGTTAGCACATCCTGCTGACGAGTGTCAACGTCTCCAGAACCAGTTGACTTACAGCTTGAACCACTCGACAACTTCATCCTGCGGCGCAGTGATGGGAATGGAAAAGCCCCATTGGATCTCGTCGCCGGCATATCTGAGCTTGGTTGGGACCTTGTCTGAAGATTCGCCCTCGCGGACCGTCTTGCTGATGGGCCAGATAGTAATGGCCGTCCGTCGATCGGCGCGCTGTGTCTCCGCCCAGGCGACGCCGGAATAGGTGGTGCCGAAATCGATGCCTACGATGATCTTGCGCTCGCTGATAGCGAGCTTGTCAAAGGTGTCGACCATTGTGGTGCGCGTTGTTGTTGGGTATCACAAAGACAGGAAAGAAACGGGGACCGCGGAGAGGAGGAATGGTGTAGCACCAGCGATATGGCAAATGAAATATGCAGAAAGGCAGGCAGAAGAAGCCGGCTAAGAAATTGCCACGTTCCAGGACCCAGGAGAGAGGGCCTCGTTTTGGTGGCTGTAGGACTGGTGTGCCTGACTTGGCGAATTGCACTCGGGAGGCGCTCGAAATACGCGGAATCTTGCGATCGTGACCAGTGTGGACTGCGGAGTGAGGATGAAGAGGCGCCGGTGATGTCCGAGTGAGAATAACGACGGGACTGTTTGAAAGAGCAAAGGTTGTCAGGTTGAAAGTCCGCAAGGTCATGGAAATCTGCCTCGAAAAAGAGAGAAGAAGCTCTGGTGGGGATAAGCAAGCGGCGTGACCAGCAACAGGCATAAGCTGGACTTCTTCAAGCAGGTACATTTTTGGAAGAGTAAAGCCTCAGGTAAGGTAAGGTACTCGGTACATATGAGGCTGGCTGGCAGGCAAGGCAGGAACAGCTAGCATTCTGCATGGAAGGCGCCTTCCTGGTCGAAGCAGATGTGGAAGGAAGGACCTGGGAGGGCAGGGACATCAGTGGCCCTGGGTTCTTGCCATGACCGGACGGTTCCGTGACATGGATGTGGGGCTGGAGAGAGCCTCCCGCTTAGGTGGCACTGAGGCATCTCGTCTTGTTTCAACGAACCAAAGCCCATTATGGCGAACGTGACCAGGATGAGGTCACCGAGATCAGGCGGTGCGCTTTCTAGTAATGAGGCCACCCTATCAAGTATCCCATCGATGAGGACGGGATATCGACAAGTGAAGGTCAAGTCACACGCCAAAGACTACCTAGACGCTAGTGCCGCCCGACAACGGTATGCTTAGGCTTTCGACCGGGACACTGAGCATGCAAGCTTGATATTCGGTACGTATCGGGGCCATTTTTCCAGAACCCCACTACCCCAGGACACGCTGCTCAAGCAGGCTTGATCCTTGTCAACTTCAACGCAAGACAGCTTACCTTCATGGCTCACGCTGCGTCGGCCTCCGCCGACAAGAATGAGGAAATCCGGGGATAAGAATGTTGATTTCCGACCTAAAGCATGCTCTCCCTAACTACGTCTACTGCTCTGTCATCAACTCACCTCAATGACATTGGGTGAGCAGGCTACTCACTGTTTGCCAGAAGAGATGGATTGTTCCAAGGTTTGGTGATCGCCACGGGGATAGGCAGCATAGCGGGGTTCACTCAGTGCAGGGCTGATTCTAGATCAGGCGCGAACCTGTCCGTAAGCAGTAAGGCATGTTGCGGGAAGCCCGTGCTAGCTTGAAGCTCCGTGGCTCAGGGTGTTTGATGCATGTCTAACGTCGCCGAATTATGCCATTGGCAGACAAAAGAAAACGGATAGGCGGACACGCATTAAACGCATTTCAGCTCTGCATTCCATTGTAACAGTACGAATAAGGTAGTACCAGGCTGTCGAGGGGCCATCTTCCACCAGTGCACAGTGTCACCGTCACTGCCTTCAAACGCTTCTCCTCGCCCCACCAAGGTGTGTCTCAATGGAAGCACCACTGTGACCGAGGGCAGCTTCCCTCAACGATGCCCTACACTATCGGCGGCAGGAGCGACCCTTAGAGGTGGATAGTAACCATAGGTAGCTATGGTGAATGCCAAATGGAGGTTTATGAAGTTTGCATCCGGCTTGTCTGTTGTTTCTTCCTTTGAATCATTTCTCTCACCGAACGTGAAAGAATGGCAGTCGTGAAGCGCCAGCAGCTTCCAGCCTACCTGCACTGCTGCCAGCCTAGGCAGACTTCCTGCACTTCATCTTATCTTGGCGCACTTTCCTCCCAACCCCAAATGCGATTTCGGGCCTTAGATCTTTCGTCCAAACACCCCCTCCGTTGTTTCCGCCGCCCAGCATCCCCGGTCGACATCATGGACGACCTCAAACAACTGGACCCGACCCTCCCGCACCATCGCGACAACCAAACCCCCCCTGTCCCGGACAAGAAGCCCATTGAAGCTGACTCTGCTTCCATACCACTCGAGGGTATCAAACCTACCTACAGCTCAGCCCTCAAGAACCCGCCATCCGTCAACGCAGAGCCTCCGAGCCCATATCTCTGCTCAGAGTCCGACGCTATGGGATTCACAAAGGTTGAGATGCCTGCCACCGTTCTCGAGAACGGAGGTCAGAGCAAGGGACCAAGACAAGCTCTGCCCAAAGGTCTCGTTGCCACTCGTTTTGCCAATGCCAACGTTCCTCCCCCTCAGCGCGCGCTGTCACCCCCGTCAACCACCACCTCGGCCTCCTTTCTCGAGTGCGAAGACTTGATCAACCTTGAAACCGACAATTCGCAATCTACAAGAGATACCTCGTCGCAGGACTCGGTTCTGCAAGCTCGGTGTGACGAGAACGTTCCTGCCTCGGCTTTGGAGCTGCGTTTGCACCGCGATATCGACGACCTACGCCAGAAGCTCAGGTCCTCGAAAGCTCAGGCAGAGATCGCCGAGGAAAGAGCAGACAGAATGGAGAAGAGGATTCAGGAGATCAAGAGCGTCAAGGCTCCCAAGCTCACGGACGCGGAGAGAGATATCAATTCGCTGTACTCAAGTGTCAATGAGCTCAAGACGGAGAACTCGGCCTTGAAAGAGCAGTTGAGGGACGCCCAGTCGCACATCTTCAGCCTGCAGCCTTATCGCAAGGAGCTCACGCCGGAGGAGGTTGGTCGCGTAGGTGAATCCCAAACCTTTCCGTAAACTCACCAGTCTGACAGAATGGTAGCAATACGACGATCTCGTTGAGGGCATCACCGATTGGGTTGCCAAGTTCATGGCACCGCTCCTCGACAATCATGCCAAAGGCGTCGATGAACTCCTAACCAACTCGCGCAAACGGCCGACTGAGGCGCACAAGCTGAAGCACGCAATCCAAACCCACGCGGATCTAGTCCACGGCACAATGTTCCCCGAAACAGATGAGGATGTGATCATTTCCATCATTATGAGATTCCTCAACGACAGCATTTTCCAAAAGATTCTGTACGGCTCCTGCGCGTCATTTGTGGAGTCTCTCAGTTTCATAGAGATGGCGCTGCAGAACACTGTCGAGCCCAAGCGAGGTGAGAGATATACCGCTGTGATAACCATTTGTGTAGCTGACCAAGTCGCCAGATCTATTCGCCATTCGGACATGGACCGCGGAGGCCTACAATGCCATCGTGAGCTCTCGCGAATTCAGAGGCGTGCGAGAGAAGAGGATGCGTGAGATGACGATTGAGCTTGCAGGCATTTTCAAAATTCTCTGCAAAAAGGACCAGCTCGATGTGTTCTACAAGAACTTTGAAGAGAACTGCGTTAGGCCTGCCATGCAACTCTACGAGAAGATTCAGATTTCGACCCACCACTTCTACTTTGACATCAATCCGTACATCCTGTGGGGATCCGAAGGCGAGTTCCAGACATCCACGGACTTTCTCGACAGCGTGTCAGACCTGGACTGCAAGAACATTCTGCAGAACCGCAAGGCGTTCAGCATGTCCAAGATGGACCCGCCTCCTTCCAAAAAGGAGCTCTACCACCGCCTACTCAACGTCTGCACGATCACCCCTGCACTCTACATGCGTCAGATCGGGCGCAAGGATTCTATCAGAGAGCCTCAGATTGTCCGGCGTCAACAAATGTTGGTGGCATGGGGTCTCCAAGACAAGAAGGAGGCCTTCATTCGAGATGGGGATCAAACGCTACTCAACCACCTATACACTGCCAGGAACGAGCGCGAGAAGGCAGAGGCAGGTGGATGGGCGACTTTCCGTTGGCCAGGCTAGATGCATCGCAGACAGTCATTGATGAAATTGGGAGTCCCATGATCACTGTATTGAGCTTCGATTTGAGGGCGTTTGCAGAAGGGAAGACATAAGGCTGGACATTTCCCATCGGTGTTGGTGCTTGAGATATACCCAGCGGAAGCCAATGGAGTAGCCATGGCCAGAGCCGAGGGTGCTCCTGACGAGGATTAGACGGGCTCTTTCAAATGAAAATCGTGTCATCAAATAAGACTATTTTGCGCTGCTCTGCTTGCTCAGCTGGAGTGGAATGAAATGGAGCTGGTGGATGGTGGTCCAACGAAGCTCGCTCTCGTTGTCAACCCACATCACCCTTCACTGAGGCCTGCGATGCGCATGATGTATCGGTACTTTAGCTTGGTCGCTTGGTGTTCTAGACTCCAGCGACAACCCAATTAACATAACGTATGTATCTGATATGAATGCCACCTGGGCCAACCCATACATCACTCCAAAGTGTAAATTGTGCTTGTCATTGCCCCAGTTCAGGCTTTCCGGGGTTGTAACCTAGGCCTTCCAGGCAAGGGGAGGGCGCTAACAGATAAGCTACAGCGGATGGACACACCGAACGAACCCCTCACTGTGGCGCCCAAGTGGCGGGGTTCTCGTGGAAGGTGCCCGGTACCTGCGGAAGCCGCCTGAAAGGTCGGTCCCTCAAACGGGCAGGGAAGGCACGTCCAGTGCCACTTGCCAGGCCTTGAACCACTTGGACTCAGAATTGGAACTGCTTTTACCGTCAAGGTTGCCCCAAACAGCTTCATCTGATGCCTTTTATGGTTCGTTTGCTATGCGCCCGCCGTCATCTTTCAGCCACCAAAAGTTTCCGCTGCATCTCAATACAGCAAAGGTGCCTGCTGAAGAGAACCTGCCTGCTGAAGAGGAGTCAGTTGACAGTCAACCTTGCAGACGCGCAACGGCCCGGCGTCTGCCAATCGCAAACTACATCGGCCGTTGAATAAGGTAGGCAAGCAGAGCACACTTCGAATATCGCTAACCACCTGGAATTACCCAGATTTACCTACTGCTTGCCACCTTACTTATCCGTCGTCCCTCCTTCAGACCAACCGTTGGCTTCAACACCATCCAAGAACGACCAGTAACAAGGTACTCTGCCTTGTGGCCCGTCTGCATCAACTACATGCTCGGACGGTGATGCAAGGTTGAGGGCCCGAGTGACGCCTTCAAGCATCGAGTAGGATCATCCCAGGAACCTGCTGCCACGTTCCCACCATGTTTCCGTCACCGGCACAAATATTGCGCTATTCGTTCCAGCAGCATCCCGGCATCACAGACGATTCGTCGCGACAGAGAGTGTCCTCTACGTCGTCCAACGGGCCATTGCCCTCCAGGGGAGAGCGATCAGCCAATGGATTTGATCAAGGATCTCTCGAAGAGTTTCACGCATCTCGTCTGTTTCGAGAGCCAGTCTTGGCAACAACAGCTGCGGCGTCGACAGATTCCACGATAACTTCTCCCGCCGTGAATCTTCCACCTGGAGACTTCACCACCGACGCAAACACCAGCGCACCCAGACGTCGAGGAGACGAAAGCCCGCGAGCAACGAACAACAATCAGACTCGGCCAGTGGTTGCAGAAAGGGCGCCAGCCCCAAGATATGTCCCTTACGTTGATTCTACTCCCGTGACGAGAATGTTTGCCACGCAAGACGCCGGGCTGCCGCCCAGCTACTACGCGCACCCGAACCCCTCTCATTTGGACAGCTTTGTCGAAGATGTCCTCGATCCGCCCCCTCTATACGACTGGGCAGTGATGATGGGGGACAGAGACCAGCAGGAGGAACAGCAGCCAACTCCACCACGGCAAGATGTCGACGACCAAGCAACGTCGTCGATCATCGCCTCTGAAGCCTCGCAGAGAGCTTTCTCCTATGGTACCATTAGCGCTGACATCATGGCCGACTTCGACTTTCCTCAACCACCACCAAAGACGACGGCCGCGGTCAGGGACCTCGCGGTAGCATCTTCGTCGTCTTCTACTCCTCAGAGAGGCTATCGACCGACAGCGGCATCCATTCTAGATGGCTTTGATCCTACGCCTTTCTCTCCCCAAACAACTGGCGGCAGCAACAGCACCGCTGCAAGCACGCCCCCCATGATGTCTCCTCCCATTCGCCCCAGATCGGCCTCGCTTCTGGGAACAAACAACCCGTACATCGCCCTCCTCGAGCAGAAGGAGCAGGCGATGACGGTCGCTTTTCTGCGCACCCATGACGTCGCCACTGGATCCCGCTCGACAGATCTCGCTGCCGACGATTTCAGGTAAGCCTAGTCATGGTTTATACTTCCATCCATCACCCCCTGCTCTGCCCTTTTGGCCAGAAAGTGATGAGCTCCATACCAGTTGAAGGGTGTCCAGTCTTGCTTGACGTTGCTGCTAACCCAGTACAGTTTCGGTCAGCGCTACCAGAGAGCCGCTGACACGACAGACGTCGTAGTTACGAGGCAAAGGCTACCAGCGAATGACCTGGGCGGATCAAGAGAGTGTCCTATCTGCGCAGAGACTAGAGAGGCTTCGGATTTCCCGATCCTTAGCGTTACTTCGATGTGTACTCACCCACCAGAGGCATGCCTGGAATGTCTCCAAATGTCAATCAGATCAGACTTGAATAGCAAACTCTGGACCGAGATCCGATGTCCCGAGTGTCGAGAGCTCCTCGAATACGTCGACATTCAGAAGTACGCAGACGAGGAAACGTTCGCCCGGTAGGCCATGCCTGAGACACCCTGACGGAGCCAAACTGACGAGTCCATAGATATGAAGCCTTGGCTCTACGCGCAGCCATGGCTGAAGCTGAGAACTTCATCTGGTGCACTGCTAACTGCGGCTCCGGTCAGCTTCACGACACGGGCACCGAGCAGCCGATTGTTTCCTGCCTGCACTGCGGCCAGAGATCTTGCTTTACTCACAACGTCACGTGGCACGAGAACCTGACATGCGAGGAGTATGACTCGCTGCTTCGCGATCCCGAGAACTTTCGATCGAGGATTGAAATGGAGCGCGAGCAGATGGATGCTGCAAAGCGTATCCAGGAAGACGCCGACCGCGCCATGGCTCAGGGTCTCATGGCTGAACAACAGGCAGAGATTCAAGAGCAGGAAGCACGAGAGCGAGCCGAGCGAGAGAGGGCATTAAGAGCCACGGCACTGGCACGAAAGGTCGCGGCCCGGCGCAAAGAAGAAGAGGACCAAAGCAAGGTCACTGTGAGTAGGACGACGAAACCTTGCCCCGGTTGTGGGTGGGCGATAGAAAAGAACGCAGGATGGTAAGTGATCCCGTGCTTAACTAGAAGACACATATTAACCCTTATACGCCAGTTCGCACATGACTTGTAAGTAAACTTGGTTCTTTTCCATGATCCTAGCACCCTTTTTCATCCTTCTTCACGCCAGCCCCTGAGGCGCCCTCCATACTGAAGCCAACAAAATTCGCAGGCATCAAGTGCCGCTTCCAGTTCTGCTGGGGATGCTACACCGTCTGGCAGCGCGGCCACAACGTCCGATGTCGTGGCTTTGCGACTATTTGACGTGACGATGCGCCCCCAAGCACCAGAGACGGATAGAATAATGCCTAACCCGGATGACCTATTCCCAGGTTCACGTTGCAAGCATGAGTTCTGCTACGAGTGCGGGGCAGACCACAGGCGCATCTTGTTGGAGGATAACAGCATACACAGCCCACACTGCCGGTTTCATCCGGGCAACCTTGAAGATTTTGTTCCTGCGGGAGAGAGGGGGTCAAGAGCAGGCAGAAGGCCAGGTGCATCTAGGCGCGTGGAAAGGCGATGATATTTTGGCACACACAGTAATGTACTTTTATTCCGCACAGCAAGGCTCTTTTTGATTTCATCTGAATTTGCGAACAGCCAGGGAAGTTGACAGAACTCCATCCCCCGTGTTCTTTTTCATCGGCAGCCCATGATATCTGGGCTGGGATTGCAGTAGCTTTCATGTAGCCCCCAGTTCTAGATACAATACCTACTTTGAGCTAATTACTGACCCGTTGCTGATTCTGTTCCCCGCCCGCCCATTCGTCTCCGTCGTCCCCTCTCGTCTCCTTTCACCTCTGTCACCCCTTGTCATCTTTGCCTGATATCGTCCAGATCTGCAGCTTGAATGCCTAGCTCCTTGGCGACAGCAGCGACTCCAAATCTACAACCCTCGCTTTCCATTTCTCTTTTTCCTTCCATCCTTTTATAGGTACATTTGTCCAGTAGGTTGGCCTACTGGCATGTCTTTGCTGTAAGACTCTGACGAGGAAATATGCGAGGGCAAGGATGGCTCACAGCGGAAACCTCTATGGCCACCTATGGGATATGTGAAGAGGAACACCTCCACGGCGCGTGGATCAGATGGATATTTATGGGGTGAATCCCTCCACTGTCTGCTTCATCGCAGCCGTAAGTATAACTTTAATTTCAACGACCCTCAAGTTTCTTTGCATCGTCAAAGCATTATACCGGAAGCCTACGAATATCACGAATATTAGGCAGTATAACGTGGTCACGTTTAACATCACTTCGTCAGGGCCGAGCTCACTGCCCCGCGAACTGGGCCGTCTCCTTCCGTGTCGCCATGAATTGCTAGTAGTAGCGGGGACGACAGGGACGATGAGGACGACGGGGAGTGTGCAGACTGGTACTCATGAAGGTGTTGACAGACCGAGGCTCGTTCAAGGACCAAGGACAACGCGCAGCCTGTCGGAACCCTTCCAGAAGACGCTAGAAGGAGGGAGAAAGCAACGGAAGAGCAGATTGGTTATACATAAAAACCAGATCACGCATTATTCAGAAGGGAGGCAGACATATTTCGGCAATCATCTTTTGACTCCTAAATGTAGTTGGCCTCTTTGAGCCTTCGCCCTGTGTCATACACCTCTTGGCACAGCCCATCTTCAAGACAAATCCACGAGAGGGAACCAGAGTTTCTGGACGCGATGCCGTGCTGTATAGGAGACATCTAGATCTAGCCGTCATAAAGCGCGGTGAAGTCCGCAAGCGCTTCGCGCCTTGTCAGAGCCAAGTGGCCGCGGCCGAGTAAAGTGAAGATCTCGCGAAGCCATGTATCCTTTGAGGAAACGGGGGGTAGGCTCTGCAGAATCAAGTGTTCTATTTTTCTTCCAATAGAGCAATCGAGACGGCCATTGCTGAGTGCCCTCTATCTGTGGACCGAGGCGAGAGCTTATATGGAGCCATACAGCCCGATTATATTTAAGGTAACGGGACAGATGGTGGGCGTTGCCGCAGGCCCTCACGGAGGGGTGGAAGATATTTTCGTCTGTTCATCAGGGGATGAGCCCGGATTGCAGATGAAGTACAATTTGACTTTTTTTGTTTCTGGATTCAACCGTGTTCCGGAAGATTGGCAAAAGGTTTGGCGCCTGTGCCATTCATCACAAGACGCCGTGCCGAATCTATCCATCCAGAGACGTTTTAGACCTGCACAACGCCATTCCGGCTTTTGTTCGACGACACTTTGAGTGCTTTCCCCCGCCCCCCAGAATTGCCGACGTCTAGATGCGGAGGGCCATCTCCATGGGGAGGCTTTTGGGGTGCATGTGGGACCATATCATGGCAAGTAGGATGTTTTGGCCAAAGCCAAGGGTTCGTCTGATGCTTTTGACATCCCGGGACCAGGGAGACGAGAATATCCCCATCTTCAATACACGTGCCGTAAGGTATACGCAGCCACTATGCATGGCTTATTCCGGGGAAGGCCCAGCGAAGATTCAGGTCTACCTAAAGTTTTCGGTAGTTCTACAGACCAGGGGGCTGGCTGCCATTGCTGTTGATCTGGATCGCACCTTGTCGGCCACACTTCTGTCGGCATCACATCAATATTGAACGACGACGCTGCTCCAACATGTCAACATGATGCACAATATCAATATATCGAAAGTTCAAATTCACTAGACTTGTGATTCTTAGCTAGACCGGGTGCTTAGTAATTGTCTGACGACAAACGAAAAGGGACTACGCAGACTCCTCGTCTGATGCGAGTTTGATATCGGGTGACGCCCCTTTCGATAATGACCACGTGAAGGCAGGGAAGCTTGGGAATTGATGAAGTCGTTGGACGAACCGCGCAAGATTTTGAATACGAGAAGACAAAAGATTTATTGATCAACCATTCGCCACTCACGCCAGGTGCTCCTGCCAAACACTCTCCGGCTCCTCGTGGAGAATCCTCTTCTAAGTCGGCTCAGGCCAATCTTTTCAACCCCGTTTTTCGTCAGCCCCGATCTTCAGAACAGGAGACAAGTCATGTCGGGTCTATCCGTCCCATCCAATGTGCCGGGTCTATCAATCCCATTCAATGTGTCGGGTTTAACAAACCCGGCAACTGTGTGGCTCAACGCTGCCTCCCCCACCGCCCAGCCCACCGGAGCCGTAGCATTAAGAACCACGCCGGGATGGCTAGAAAGATTCAATGCCTGGTCGAGTCTCTTTAATTTCGTCAAGGGTCTTGGTGTCATCTTCGGCTGGTGGCCTGATGGTCAGCAAGAGAAACCGAAAACCCGGCCGCACTACACGCCGGGCGAAACGCCGGACGACGTGCCGATTTACACGAAGGTTAACTTCTGGATCGGTAATGATGGACCGCACCCGTTCGACCCCACTAAGCCGCCCATGATCAACGCTGGTGGCGACGCGCCAGATGTCCATTTGTTTGGCGACGGAGGAAATCACATCGGCTCCAGATACCGACCGGGGTTCTGCCCATCCGGCAGCATCCACTGCTACGCAGGGGTTGATACTGAGGGTTATGCTTCATACGTCCTTCTCAGCGGCAACATGAATCCAACTTGTATTGCGCTCATGACTGTGGAGATACCAGGTGTTGAGAGGAAGTTTGGGTTCGCCCTGGGAAACTGGGCAGCACCTTGCGAGAAGATCTCCGGCAGGAAGAATCCATGGTTTGTTTACTTCCCCGATGTGTCTTTTCGTTGTTATGTTTTTCAGCTTTCTAAGAGTGAAACAGGTACTACGCCAACCAAGACTTACCCCTGAAGAGTGCTGTCAATGACGTGAGCAAATGCGTCTGGATCGGCAGAGGCAAGGATAATCAAAAGCCAAAATATCTCAGCGGAATGCAGCTTCGTATGAGAGAGTTCCGCTCCAACGAAGCCCCTATACGGAAAATGGATTACTACTGTCGTAACTACCCGGTCCTCAACTTTCGCACTGAGACGTATCCTCACGTACTCCAGAAGTGGGCAATAGACCCTTTGTTGGCTGGAACGAAAGCACCGACTGGCCCCTTTCTCGATCCACAGTGGGCAACTGAGACCGAAGACATGGAAGAGAGCGAAACCCTCGTCACGGAACCTCTCCCAACAGTCACTGCTATGGGGACTTTTGGCGACGCCGCCGTCAAGGAGAGAAACAGGAACCGCTACGCCCGTCTCGCCCGGAGATGGATCAGCTCCCCAGACCTCGTGGAGCAGATCGCGATGGACCCCTCGGTCTACAAGAGCCACAAGCCCGGGCACCTGGCCAGCGAGCTCTGCGACCGGAACGCCGGCGCCGTGGGGCATTCCTTCGTCTCGTACGCGGAGAAGATGTTCTGCTACATGCCCACCAAGACGCTGTACAAGTTCTGCGAGGATATCGACGAGGGGGCCTGCTGGTCCGAGGACGACAACAAGGTGATCTTCAAGGCTTCGGGCGCAGGAATGATGACGCTCTCGGCCGCGGATATTCCTGATCTGCGCCACGCCCACAGCTCTATGAACATTGTCTGGAAATAAGTGCGCGCTCAACGTGTGCCCGGCCGGGATGACAGGAGGGGCGAAAACGAAAGATCCTGTGGTTGGGATTTGGGGTGGGTTGCTGAGGTCGTTCGTTTGGTTGTTCAAGTGTATTCGTTGTTGGAGAAGAAGCTATCTGTTGTTTGTAGATGGGCAGAAAGAGGGGGATTGATATGGCGAGAGGGCTTGGGAAACACAGGATCGAGAGTTACAATGTTTGTTTTGTATTAGAAATGATTTTGAGTTCACCAACTGTCAGCTGTTACATATTGAGAGGCTTGGCTTCTAGGCCAGCGAGAAAATAAAGCTTAGTTTGGTTTTGTTAGGCAGGTTTTTTGATGTTCTAGAAAGAGAAATTTCTTATTAATAAGCTTCCAGGTATTAAGATATGCTGCCATTTGACCTTATCTCTCAAGGCTACAACGAGCTTCATTTTTGACCCGAACAAGTCGACCAATTCTGTTCTCTGTCATCTGGCCGAAAGTGGCTGTTATCTGCATCTGCGGCTCTTGCGCGGCATTTCGGACAATGCGACATGGCCGGCAGGTACCCGATCACTCCCGCGAGGTTCAAGATTGTCGAAGCCAAGTGTGGAGATTCGCGAAAATCATTGCCGTCTTCGAACGCAGATATGCAGGTCGCCTGTTGAACAGCTTACGCCGTGCCGGTTGGACCCGTCTTAGACGCTGAGACTCTTGGCAAGAGTCGTAAACATGCACAGCGGGATTATTCGGACTACCTCCTCAAGCTGACTCGGTGTGTTATCCACAGACGGTCATGAGCCTCTCTTTACAGCGATTCTTGACTCGTATCGCCTTAACACATCACGAGCAAATCACGAGGCTGTGGTTCGTTTGTTTTGGTAACGATTGACTTTGATAAATGCAAATTGGTATCTAACTTCACCACCACAAAAACTCCTTCTAATGCGACACGGAGTTGGAGTTGTCGGCGCAAGAGAACGCGCTGGAGCCTCCAGACTCCTTGTAGGTAGCCATGATGCCCACGATGGAGCCGTAGGCGCCGGCGATCATGAGGAACGAGCCGCTGACGACGACGAAGACGCTGAAGCACACCATGGCGATCCAGCGCGGGTTCTTGTCGAGCTTGCCGGCGCTCCAGTTGTCGTAGAGCCACATGCAGCCCATGGGCTGGAAGGAGAGGAGGGTGCCGAAGAGGGCGCCGACGAGCGAGACCAGGCCGTCGAAGACGGGGATGGAGCTGGCGATGATGTAGGCGATGACGGCGACGCTGAAGGTGCAGCCGAGCCAGGTGATCCAGTGCTTCGCGGTGTTGGCAGTGAGGTGCTTGGTGCCGCGGAGCATGCGGATGAAGACGTACTTGGCGGGGAGCTGGAGAATTGTTAGTTGGTGTTGCGGCACGCCAAGGAGTGTGTTGTAGCTTACGTGAATGACGAGAGTGGTAGTCACAATGAGACCGGGAAGAGCCAGGCCGTAGCAGACCTTCTTCATCGTGGTTCCGGCAGATCCAAGAGCCGGGGAGGCAACGTAGGAGCCGCAGAAGTAGTAGACGATGACGCCAATGGCGATGTAAGTGCCGGTAACAACACCCTGGCAGATGAAGAGAGATCGGGAGTAGTGGCGGGGCTCGCGCATCTCGGAGACGATGGAGAAGAAGGCCGGGGTACCAGCGAAGGCGAAGACGAGGGTAGAGAGAGCGGAGGACGCCTCAGCGAAGGTCGGCTTGCCAACGATGACATAGTCGGAGACCCAGACACCGCCCTGAGGGGCTGCCGCAGGCCTGTCCTGAATGCCGACCGCAATGGTGAGAGTCAAGACTTTTTAGTTGTTAGCTAAGTGCGTATGGAGAGTTGCTGATTCAGGGGTTATGCGTACTTGAGCTGAGAATAGCGACGAGACCGATCCAAGCAAACCAAGTGATCTTGCCAAGCGTTTGGATGCTACCGAAGCAGAAACCAACAAATGCAGCCACAGCAACAAAGATTGCAGTGCAGGCACCGTGGGTGGAAACCGAGTTGAGCGCAATGGAGGCACCAAGCATACCAGAGCCGGCAACGAAGATCCAGTCTGTTGTAGATATTAGCGGGCTGAGCGTTTTAACGCTTCACATGTGCGCGGCGACTTACAGAGACAGAAAACCACGGCAAAGAATTCACGACCGATGGGGCCAAAGAGCTTGCGACCAACGTCGTCAATGCTGTACACATCGGGGTGGTTCAACTTGAAGACTCCGACAATGTAGTCGGACCAGGTTGTCACGCCCGACACGAGGCACAACGCAATCACGCCCGGCACGATTCCCAAAACGTGGAAGGTTCCCGGGATGGACAAGACTCCGAGTCCGATCTGGGTCTTCATCATGAGAGCGGCTGTTCCAAGCCACCCAACCTGTTGGTCGGGAGATTAGTCGCTGTACGGGGGTTCGTCGTCTCTTTTCCCGAATTTTTCTTACATTACGGTAGTTGGGACCATCTTCACCGATTTCACCGAAAACTGCATCGTAGCTAGCGTTCGGGTCGTCGTAGACGACGCCGACCTGGGACTGGGTTGAGACCTGGCCCAACTCGTCGAGGTGGCTTTCCTTGCTCTTATGCATGGTGGTAGCCATTTTTTGTTTTTATTGTCGGTCGATGGAGTGTGGATATGTGATCGATTCGAAGGACAACGTCAAAGTCACCGCAGGAGAATATCTTTCAAGTCTTTTGAAAAGCAGTCACTTTGAAGCGTCGAGGGTGCGATTGTCGAAGTTTTTCAAATCTCTAGGAGAGATCCGATGTTGGCGGTTAGGAGGCGAAGAGGTTTAATGAATTGCCGTGAGACATTGAAGGCTGAGGTGAACCTTGGAGGACAACAAAGATAGAGTGCGACCAAAATGAGTTTGTCAAGACGACAAGGGATCGAAAGCCCAGTACAATTGAGCGACTCGAGGTGAACTGCGAGAAGATGGATAATTCAAACATCCAGGCGTTCGAGATTTTGGAGTTGGGAACGACGCGCTTTTGAACAAGATTTGGTCTAGCGCTGGAGCCGCTTCTCTTCAGCTTCGCCCAGCTCAAGGCCAATGCCGTCAGGGGCATGGCGTGCCAAGGTAGCGACGCAAGGTTCACGCTTCTATCAGACAGACAGGTTCCTCCAACAAGAGGACAAGACCAGATAGGTCAGATAGGACACAACCCACTGCATGAGGTAAATTACGCACCTATTTCTGAGAGAAACCCCATATTTTCCCCGGACTTCATCGACTGGGAGATACGTCACAGCGGGACGATGTTCAAGGATGCTAGGGAGAAATGACTCACAATGGCACTTCCTTTTCAGGGTCGCGCGCAGTGGTGCACATTCGGCCTTTGTCCGGCAATTGTCAAAAGCTTCGATAATTTTGATAAAATATGCAGTCGGGACCCGTTCCGACGCACACACAACTCTTACTGGAGGTACGAATGAATACTGGAGGCACTTGAGGCGACATTCATCTGATAGCCCCCTTCAGCTCAACCCCTTGACGGATGACAAGGAACTCCCACGGTCCACGGATCAGCCGGGACCAGATTACGAAAACTTCCTGGTCCGCGAGGTTTTCCGTGGGCAAACACGGATACAGCGCGCGCTGAGTTCACATCCCTCCCATCGGCAATAACGCGTACGGATAGCAGGCAACCGTTAAAACGCGCAGATAGCAGAGGGTTATTTGGCCTCTCTGCCCTGGTCGAGCCGGCAGCCTTTTGCGGGTCGGCTGTACCCGTTTTCTCACCACGAAAGAATTATGAGGCGGTCGGTCAGCCGGTCTTCCAGGCGCAGTGCGTCGAAAGCGGAGATCGGCGGCTCCATGACTCGTCTGGCATTGGTCTATCTCAGGGTCTCGCTCTGCGCGAATCCCTGTTGCTGCGGGACCCTCGCTGGGGTGTCTCGAAGTAAAACACCATCGGGTGAAGATCCGGTCTTCTGCCCGTACCAACGGAAGCGGTTCCGACCTCCTCCGACGCAAAAAAAAACCTGGCCCGCCGTTTCTGCGCCACCGCGAACAGCATCAACGGCGGCGCATGAGTCTGGAGAGCCGCCGCGTGACCACCACGATGACAACAGTTAGCCCAAGCGCCAGACTCACTGATGTCACTGTCGGATGCTTCCCGCGTGTCTGGAGACCGGTGGGAACGTGTGAACTTGGAATGCAGTGGTGACGCTTATTTTCCGCTTCCCCATGGGGAGCGCAGAGACAGTTGAGATGACGGCGTGGTCGTGGAGAAACTGTTACGTACAAAGAAGAATGCGCTGCCACCTTGCCCGGTCTAAGCGACCAGAGCGTGTGCCACCAGTGTCGCCAGATTAGTCGGCGAAAAATACGGACTCTAATGCAGAGGCCGCCGCGCATTGTTGTGCAGGAGCACATGTCCGCGGCCTTTTTTCTTCCAGAGGAAAGCCTGCGTGAGTGGCGTGGGCTGTCTCTAGACATGATAAACAGATACTTCTATAAGGGAAGACGCGATTGGCCTTTCTTAGCCTTCTACTAACGCAGTGCTGGGAGGGTTGTAATGGCTCGCTACTGATATCGGATGAGCCGCGGCGGCTCTAATGAGACACTACGCTAGTTTGAGTGTGGCAGACTGACTTGTCATGTACATGGCAGATGCCAACACGGAGCACGGAGAACGAAGCCGTTCGTTCTCTTCCCCCGCATTCGACCGGCCGAGGCGTCTGTCAGTTGTTTCGCTTCATTGGCAGAGACTCTTGTTGTTTCCACCGTCGGAGAGATACCTATCACTACTTCTGCACTCTGACAACATGTGTGCGTGTCTTTAGCCCCCGAAAACCGACATACGACCGGCCCTCCGGATGCATCGTCGTGCTCGTCAACAAGAGGAACATTGACTGTTATCTTCAAAGGGGTATCTTGCAGGCAACTGATACCTCTTAGCTGCGTCCGTTATCGGGCATAACGGCCGGACAGTTAACACATACATAGTGCACATCGTGCTTTATCACCGACGCAGTCTAAGAGACTAGATAGCATGCGGAACTTAGTGCAGATAAGCCCCCTAGTCAGTGCCCAGCAGAAGGAAAAAAAAATTAGTTCTCCACCACGGAATCGCTACCCCGCGTTTCTGGTTCCACGATAGTCGTCACGTCACCCTTTGAGGCTCGCACCACCGTCGCGTGTCCAAAGACTGTATCAATATCTCGGTTTAATTGAATTTTCTTTCTTTGGGAACAGGTTTTTTCTGTCTTGTGTTATTAGAACGGCGCAATGGAACCCGGGACTGGACGCAACAAGGTTACGAAAAGATCTTCAAACGCGTGAGTTCGGCGTTCTTCGGCGCGCCTGCCGGCCAACTTTCTGGGCCGCTCCGCTGACCCTCTCTTGGACAGGTGTGTAAGATGTCGGAGGCAAAAGATCAAGTGTTCGGGGTCGCAGCCATGCGATGCATGCGGCAAGCGCAAACAGTCCTGCACATTCGATGAGCGCGACCAGAGGATAGTGGTCACCAGAGGGTAAATCTCATCTCACCGTCCGCTGAAGAATTAAACACCCACTTACACGGCCGCTCCAGTTATATCATCGACTTACAGCAGCGGATCGAACGATGGGAACGCAGCAAGAGCACCAATGAGCCGGCGCGGGACTCGATCGAAGGCGGCCAGGCTGCCGACAAAGTCGAGAGTGGTCTGTTATCTCTGGCTTCGCATCCGAAATGAGCAAACTAACTCCTTGCAGGGTCTGAGAGCGATGTAAGCATGGCAGGGGCGGAAGGTCCAGACTCAACCCAACCTTCGAGAGGCACTGAGAAGCAGCAGGACGCCCGCCCCAAGCCGCCCATGGACCCGGTGGCCTCGACGCTCATCAACCCATTGTCTACTGGGCAGTCAGAGTTTATGACAGCGCCGACAGGAAGGATATGTGAGTCATTCCCAAAGCACATCGACTTTATAGGTCATTGACAGCCATGCAGTCTACTTGGGAACATCATCCAACTGGTCCTTCACACGTCGCGTCCTCAACATCACGCACCAATACATCAACAAAACACCTCTACCCACGAGCGCACTCATCTTCGATGCCGCGGCCTACACCCTCGATTGGGATGGCTACCGCATTGGGGAGGGCCCCGAGATGCCGGCCCTCCCAACGCAGGACTATGCCATCTACCTGGTCAACGCAGTGAAGTTTCACTGCAGCCAGATGTTCCACCTCTTCGATGAAGAGTCCTTTATGAAATCCCTATACCACTTTTACTCAGACCCAAATCCAAGGGCTGACCCTACGGACCTTTGGTTCATCCATTTTCTTTTGATACTCGCTTTTGGAAAGGCATTCACGACGAAGGCCAACAGAAGCCGAAAGCCCCCAGGCCATGACTACTTTATAAAAGCTGTGCAGCTTCTCCCCGACCTTAGCGTTTTGCTGAAGCAAGCTGCTCTCTCGACAGAGATTCTCTGCTCACTTGCACTGTACATGCAATGCGTCGACTTTCGGCATGCCTCCCACAACTTCATCGGCCAAGCCATACGCATGGCCTTGGGTGAGGGCATGCACACAGACATGCCGACGCAAGTGCTGGGAGAGGCATATGTCGAGAGGTGTCGAAGGATCTGGTACACAGCACATATTCTAGATCGAGAGATGACGTCCCTCTTTGGCCTTCCGCCTTCAATCCACGATGATTACGTGCAGTGCCAACTGCCAACCTATTCTGGTTCATCGCAAAGGACTGCGGCCTTGCGGATGAGGATAAAGCTGTCTGAGGTTATCGGCAGTATTAACAGAAGTAAGGTGCCAACTCGATAACTATCAGAAGTCGGGCTAACCAAGTTACTCAACAGAGGTATACGGTCGAGATGGGAGGCTCAACAACAAGTTCATGCTGGGGACTAAAACCGTCCTGGAAAGTATGGCCCATGTTGCCAACGATCTTCAACAGTCCTTTGCGCTTCCACTCGAGAGGGATACAAGTTGCATTTCCAGAACATCGGCCCATTTACACCTACTACATCATCAGGTAAGTCGCTCCAAAAGCCATTTGCTGGTCATAACGTAAGCTAACCAATCCTCTTTTTCAGTGCATCGTCCTTGCTACAAGACCGCTGCTATTTTGCTTCTTGAAGATCCGATTCGAATCCGAGAGTAAATGCACCGAGCTACTGGGATCATCTCAGACGGTGCGAAATTTGATACAAATGTGCATGGACTCTTCCCAACAGATGATTGCTATCCTCGACTGTCTACAGTCGCAGGGTCTTTTGGGTGAGCTTTATCACAATCGAGTATTTCTACATTGTTCTCTGACACGGACCTCCAGAAACCTTCCTTCCATTTGACTTGGAGGCGATCTTCGTCTCTACGGGAAGTCTATTGCTGGGACCCGCAATCGACCCGCAGGCCTTCGAAGGCGTGGTTCCCTCGCTTGAAAAGGCGTATGCTGTTTTTGATGAAATGATCGCCGCTGGGAATGCGGTGGCAAATTTTCAGAAGGCAGAGCTGCAACAACTCGAAATCATGTTGCAACAGTTGACACAAACACACCCACAGCCAGCAACAGATGACTCCGGCGCGGTGAATGAGGCGCCATGTCAACAACAGCAGCAGCAAATAGCTGACGACACGAGCCCTCACGATACTGTGATTTCCTCGTTGGCTACGGATTTGTCCCAGAATGAGAGCTATACCTCGTCGCTGCCGGGAAATCTGGAGGAAATGACTTTTGATAGCGGCCTGACCATGACTCAATTGCTGGATATGGCGAATTCGATAGAGCACGAGGATACGGAATGGATGTCCCAAACAATTGTCGAGCATAGCATTTGGTAGTCTGGTTGAACAACAGCGATTTGACTTTTCTCTCCCACATGAAGAACACAATATGCATGATGTCTGCAGGATAGGACTTTGCATAACGTACGGGATCACCTCAAAGTCTCCCAACCCCATCGAGACCTTCCGTTTCTGTCTCTCAGCTGCCTCCTGATTGCTCAACCTCTGTGGGCCTCGGAAGTCACGACTCGTTTCGGCTCCTCGGCGACCCCGAGGCTCGGATACATATGCAGCATCAACAGCAGACGGGCGATCACACCTCATTCTCAGCTTGACAGGTTGGAAGTATCAAAGTATACAATGCTATTATTAACTACATATCTTCTACAACTTGGAGGCCTTGGGGTTCTGCAGCTCTGCAAACTCCATGGTGTTTCCGAGACGCCAGCTGACAGTGTCTCCCCACTTGCCGTCATCGCCGCCGACGTCCTTCCAGCGCCATTTGTCAACGGGTTGCTTCCCGTCCGCGGCCTCGAGCAGGTTCTTCACCCAGTCTCCGATCAGGGGAATAAGCTTAGCGGCGTGCCCGGAATCACCAGACATCAACACCACGGACGAGCTCGACTTGGGGACGTAGTCGATGATGAAGTCCGAGTCATTAGTGTCGGCAAACCAGCAGAGCGACTGCTTCACCAGAGGCCTGTCGGCAAGCTCTGGCAGCGTCTCTCGGAGCAGCTGCCGCACCTTCTCCTGGTCGTGCAGGGGCATGAAGGCGCTCTCGGCATGCGAAGGCGGGAGTGAGACACCGGTCTTGGGATCCGTGTTCACGTACCCACCGCCCATGGGGCACAGCTTGAGGAGGTTGGTCTTCGGGTCAGGCTCGAAGTAGAAGCCGTAGTCGCGGGCATAGGTGACGGGGATGCCACGCAGGGCGGATGTCTCGTCTTCAGTGAGATGGACGTGTGCGACGGACCACGACTTGGCGACCACCTGCTTGCCGCACTCTGGCACCAGCCGCGCGGCAGCAGCGCCGACTGCGACGATAACGAGCTTCGCCGGTACATGGCGGCCCTGCTGCGTCCTGATACCGGTGGCTTTCCTGCCTCCCGGGGTGTTCTGGTAAACAATCTCCCTCACGCCGCCGTGCCGGCCGAGGAAGTACTTGACGCCTCGTACCTGCGTCGCCTTGTACAGGGCGATCAGGGCGTTCCCAGAATGGACGTAACCGTCAAACGTGTTGAGATAGCCCTTCCAGCCGGAACAGTGCCCGGCCTTGTACTGCCAGACGTTCTCCTCAATGTCCTTGCCACCTTCGATTGGGATAACATGCTTAGCCAAGACCGGGTTGATTTCCGCGGCCTTTTGGAATCTCTTGAGCGTCTCAATGGCCCTGTCAGGGGCCTTACCCGAGACACAGTGAAGAAAGCCGACCTGGTGGAAATGCGGCGCAAAAAGTGGCGTCTTCCAGGCCTTGATAGCTTCCTATTGCCCGAGAGTAAGCCTTTTAGTGTATCAGCTCATTTCGGAGGATGCAACTTACGAGGGTAAGATCGGTGTAGAACGGGTCCTCATATTCCGCCCTCAGAATCTTGTTGATGTCATTGGCGGCAGAGTCTTGCGGGGGTATTGTCTCGTGCTTGTCATAAACAGAAATGTCCGTGTATCCCGCCAGGGTGAGATGATAGGCCGTTGACAGGCCGAAGGCGCCGGCGCCGACGATGATGATAGGATCGGACTTGCTGATACCCATGGTGATAGTTCTGAGAGACTCGTGTTGAAGCTGATGTACTAGACTCCAAGGGAATCTTTGCTACGAGTGAAATTTGCTCCTTATGATGTATGTAACGTCCAGCGGCCGTCTAAGCCGTTCAGTCCACCGCCGGTTCCGTTCGGGAAATGGACCGGCTTCGGACCCATGGTTGCGGTGTTGCGGTGAAGCTATTCCCGGACAATGCGGGGGACCGAGTGACGGGCCAACGTGATCTTACGACGCTGACCACGTCGGCTGGTCTCCCATGTGGCGGTCGAGACCACGCTTATTGAACCGGTTGCTCGAGACGGGTGCTGAACCGCATATCTTCACAATCGTCATGAACACAGTCGGAAGCACTTCCGACTTATTGAAATCATCATCATTGGCTGAACGGGCCGATGTGGGGCTGGAGTATCGGCATCGGGACCCTCACCCGTGTTTTCGTCGTCCAAGGCAGGCCCTCTTCCCCAGACCCCAGACATGATGACCAGGTGTTTGCCTGAAGATGGGATCACGGTACGTACTGTCAAGTCCGGAGACAAGCGATGGCAGAGTTCGGTCCGCGTGGTCCTTTGCAGAAGACAGCAATTACGAGGAAATAGAGACGAACATTCCGGAGGGAATTCTTCAGCAAACGAAGGCTGCATCTGTTGGTGTGGTCCCTGTCGCCCAATAAGGCTTAACTAACGCATAATCGCGGGCTATTTTCATCCGTAGTTTACATGACTCTCCGGCATAAACGTGCTGCCAATGACAATTTGACTGAGTACAGTGTGTTCACCCTACCCTGCACAGCGCCCGACTAAGTATGTCAACACTCGGATGAGCCCAGTTGAAACTTGAAGAATGGAGCATTATGAAACTCGAGGGTGATGCTTGTGATGGGTCGGTAATCATCAATGTCATTGGACTACTGAATAACTCTCTAAATTACATATTTCGCCTATCCCGAATACACATGCCACCAGGCCCCGTCACGCCATTTTTTTTCGACCACCCGTGCGCGATTTTTATTTGTTGCTGGGGTACTCGAAGTCGGTCAGGGGGAAGAACTCCTCCTTGATCAACCTCGGGCTCGTGAAGCGTCTCATGACGTCAGCGCTGCCGGCCTTGTCGTTGGTTCCGGAGCTACGGGCACCGCCGAAGGACTGTTGGCCGATGAGGGCGGCGGTGGTCTTGCAGTCTGGAGAAGAAATGGTTTAATACTCTGGAGAAAGGCACTCAAGCTTGGGAAGGTTGGACTTACTGATGTAGAAGTTGCCGGCAGAGTAGCGGAGGGTGTCCTCCGCCTCGCGGATGGCGGTGCGGTCCTTGGCGAACACGGCGCCGGTGAGGGCGAAGCCGCCGCCACCCTGGTCGACCTTCTTCAGAGTGGAGGACCACTCGGCGTCGGGGTAGATGTTGACGGCCAGGACGGGGCCGAAGATCTCCTCGTTGAAGAGACGGTGCTCGGCGGAGTCGGCGAGGTAGACGGTCGGGTTGACGTAGTATCCGTTGGAGCCGTCGTAGGTGCCGCCAACGAGCAGCTTCAGAGAGGGGTCCTTGTTGCTCTCGTCGATGATGCGCTTGATCTTCTCGAAAGAGCGGTCGTGGATGACGGGGCCCATGAAGGCGTTGAGGTTGCCGTCGGGGCTGCCGATGGTGATCTTCTTGACGTTCTCGGTCAACTTGGACAGGAACTCGTCGGCGCGGGACTGGGGGATGTAGACGCGGGAAGTGGCAGAGCACTTCTGGCCCTGGTACTCGAAGGCGCCGCGGAGGGTGTGGAGGGCGGCGCTGTCGATGTCGGCGGAGGGGTGGATGAGGTGGAAGTTCTTGCCGCTGGTCTCGCCGACGATCTTGGGGAAGTCGCGGTAGGTCTTGTTGCCGATGCCCTCGCCGATCTTGGCGTACAAGGAGCGGAAGACGTCAGAGGAGCCGACGAAGTTCAGGCCAGCGAATTCGCGGTGCTTGAGGACGACATCGGTGACCTCCTCGGCGTCACCGGGGACGAACTGGATAACGTTGGGAGGAAGACCGGCCTCGAGGAGGATGTTGTAGACAAGCTGACTGGCGTAGATGTTGCTGGGCGAAGGCTTCCAGAGCAAAACGTTGCCCAGGAGCGCGGGGCCGGAAATCAGGTTGCCACCGATAGCGGTGAAGTTAAAGGGGGATACGGCGTAGACGAATCCCTCGAGAGGGCGCCACTCCAGACGACTAATTATGAGTTAGTTATGGTAGGCAGAAAAAGGTTCATGTGTGCGTAGTCGCTTACCTCCACATGCCGTCAGATCCACGCTCAGGCTGCTTCTCGAGGATCTCAGCAGCAAAGTTGCAGTTAAGTCTGAAGAAGTCGGCCAACTCCGCAGCCGCGTCAATCTCTCCCTGCCACATGTTCTTGCCCTGGCCGAGCATAGTAGCGGCAATAAGCTCATATCTGTACTTGGTGACGACCAGCTCGGCGGCCTTCAGGAAGATCGCCGCCCTGTCGACGAAAGGTGTGTTCTCCCAGCTCTTCTTAGCCTCCAGCGCGGAGTCGATGGCGGCAGCAACCTGCTCCTTGGACGCGAGAGGGAAGTTGGAGAACTTCTTTCCGTGGGCGTGGGGCATAACGGTGTCGAAAGACTTGGAGGCGGAGTGAACCTGGCCATTGTAGAAAAGGTCGCTGCGTGCGGGGAGTTCAGACTTGAGCTTGTTCAGGGCCTCCTCCAACTTGGCGCGCTCAGGCGAGCCTTTCCTGTATTCAGGCTGCGTCGATTGTCAGCTATTTGTTCGGGTATTGCTTTGGGCGAGTGGGAAACTTACGTTAGGCTCATTTCTGGGGTCTGGTAGTCTAAATGGCACGGTGGCCTTAGTTCTTGTTTGTTGCAGGCCGACGGGAACTGCGAAAGGACGGAGGGCACCCCTCATAGACCGCGCGGGTCTTGCGATGACGCTGGCGACTTGCATTGTCGAGTGTGTGATATAAAAATGTATGAGGTTCGCGGTGAGGGGGCGAAAAGGTTCGTAATACCAGACTAAGGATAATTCGCAAGCACGACAAGCCGTTCCTCTGAAGCTGATTGAGATACTGAAGATACACCACCTCCCATACTTTCGCCGTCTGAGAGCTCTATTTGATAGCAATAATGCCGGCCATGCTCCCGACTGTCGTCGAGTGCCATTGACCAATCACGTCTAAGATCGATGTCATTCCGTGCGTGATGCCGAGATCGGACGGGGCGGATCTCCGAGCGGGGTGCTCGACGGGCACCCAGCCGATATCTTTACATGCAGCTTCCCCGCCGTGCGGCGCGTGTGTTACATTTCCCCGCAAACACCGGGGGCTGGGATCTTGAATCAGCTCCGGCGTCTTGTGACGCCCGATTACAGGCCGACGATAGCCATCGTATCGTGAGCCGGCCTCATGAGACCGGCTGTCAGAGAGGGACCGCTTGCCCAGCCGCCGATGTACCAACTTCGTACTCACGGCCATTCATACTTGCGCTCTTGATCTGTAAAAAGCTTGCAGATGAGCTTGAGCAACGATGTGAAATGTCTGCCAGCTGTATAATTCATAGTCACACGAGTGCACCAACTGTAGAGTTCGTCTTAAGTTGAATGGTCTTGTTGGTGTTGCTTGATAGACCTAGAGTATCGATATCATGAAATGCGGATCCGTAGAGGTGTTCGCAGATAAGTAGCACATTGCCCACGTCCCGTGAGATGAACCGCCTGAAGCATATTCGACCTGCGAACGTCAGAATCTCGACCAATGACACACACAGAGGCCAAGAAGGGCGCGGCACACGACCCTTGCCCTCTCCTGGGTCAGTTTACAGGGGACCTCACAGCCGGGGCCTTCTCCGCAATTTTGATCTCCCCGGCCGTCACGATACTAGATCGGTAAGACACAGATCACGGACCCTGAATTCTTTGACTAAAAAAAAGCAAGGGCGGTGGTGGAGAGAACCTCGACCGGACGGCCCCTCATCCGAGGTCTCCGCTCGCAGCTATCGTCCGCCCTCCGCCACCCACGGGCCTTCTTCCTGGGCAAGCCGCTTGGCATAGTCTGGACCCTGTACGCAGCGACGTACGTCACAGCAAACGCCGCGACGACGCTGGCGGAGAGATACGACGGAGCCGCAGCCGTGAGCACGGCGACCTTCGCGTCCACGTTCCTCGTCAACGTACCCCTCGGCGTGTGGAAGGACCTCCGCTTCGCAGAGATCTTTGGGTCCGCCGCTGCTTCCGGGGCGACGGCTGTGTCGACGACGCCGCGAGTGCTCCCGAGGGCCGCGACGGCGACATTCCTGGTGAGAGATGCCGTGACGATCTTTGGGTCGTTTACGCTCCCGACGTGGGTATCGGCTGGTATCCCGGACAGCGTGACGGCTTCTCCACATGCCAAGGCGACTATCACGCAGCTGACCGTGCCGGTGATGTCTCAGCTGGTGGCGTCTCCAATACACTTGATCGCGTTGGACTACTATGAGAGGCAGGGGAAGATGCCATTCTCCAACCGGGTTGCGAAATCGAAGGAGCATGTGCCGTCGACGATAGTCATGCGGTGCATCAGGATCATTCCTGCATTCAGTATTGGCTGCGTGGCCAACTTAGAGTTTAGGTCCTTTTTCCATAATTGGATAGGTTCAATGGTACAATAGAATATTCATTTCTTGGCTACACGAGACTGCTGGACCAATCCAGGTTGATGAGATGTCGATGAAAAGTCGATGCGATGGCTGCTATTTGGGCTAGAAGGCTTCATCTCTCGACTATGCGTTGACAAGGAAATAAACAAAATACATGGTCGAAAGAAGTGTTCGTTTAGCATTGATTATATGTCTCTATGAACGCCTTGTGTCGTTGAGGTGAGGCGTAGTCTCCATCAATCGAGCTATGGTGACAGCCTCTCTGAGCGCCTTGCCAATGTGACCTCTAACTGCCCCCTCCTCCAATACCATCAGACCTCCAATCGTACATCCTTCAGGTGAAGTGCCCTGGTCTCTAAGCAAAGACGGATGAAGGCCATTCTGCATCAAAGTTGCGCTTCCAAGCATGGATTGAAAGATCATGGTAGAAGCCAGGTTTCTAGGCACGCCCACCGCAACCGCAGCATCAATCATCGCGTCACAAATGACGCCCCAGAAAGCGGGTGTTGACCCTCCAACAGCCGTCGTAGCGTTCATCAACTTAGGAGCAATCTTCACCGCCTTTCCAATCTTTTCGAAAATGGCCTCCGTGAGCTCCATGTAGGGGGCTGGGACCGGAGGGTCCGAGATCTCGATTGCGGTGAGAGACTGAGAGACCATGGCGGCAATGTTGGGAAGGGTTCGCACAACCCAGGCTCGACCCTCGGTGTTATCGGCCGTTGTCTCGCTTCCGTACAGAGTCGACTCCAGCTTCCCTCTCGTCCACCCAGCAGCAACACTGATTAGGAGCTTGTCCTTCAGTGCATCCGCTGTGCCCGGCTGCGAAAGAACAGACTCCACGTCGCCGGGGTCTACACCAAGAACGACGACTTGAGATGCTTTCAAGGCGGCGATGTTGTCACCCCTCGTGACCTTGAGTTTATCTCCCGCATCGGGAAATTTGCCCTTCAGAGCACTCTCCGATTGCTCACTTCGAACACAAGCAATAAACTTGGTGATGGGGAGCGTGTAATTCTCGCTGTTTGAGGCATCAAACAGCGCTTTGAGAATTGGAATTCCCAGATTCCCTAACGCGCATACATCAGTGATTGATAAATAATTTCATATTGGAAAGATTGTCTTACCGCAGCCCAAGATGCAAAGAGTAACGTCTTTCGAGTCCGGCATGTTGTCGGCTGTTGCTATGCCAAATTCGTGATTGATGACAGTTCAGCCAGTAGTTTGACCAGAGTCACAGTGATAACGAAAGGCAAGGGTCAAACTTCAAATCCTCACCAACAGATCGAGATTTGAGTTTTGTCATTCACGACTATCACAAGCCACCCTAACTTCCCCTCATCAGAGGCAACACACTCGGGAGCCTCCCGGCCCAAGGATGTGGGGGAAGTGGAGAAGCAACGGGAGCACTCCCGATCGTGCTACACAACTCAAAGATAGCATTCCAAAGATAGTCACAAGGCAACTGCGATCCACTTGATCTGTCAAAAATCTCCGATTAACGAAAAAAGAGGGACATATCTTTTATCTCTAGCCAACAGGCCGAGACCGGAACGATCTAGATCGCAACCGTCTGCCCAGCTCCGCCTTGAGCGCGGCATACTCGTCCACCGTCCTCGAAACCGCATCTCTGTTCTCCACCGCTCTCCGCAAAAGATACGCCACGCACTCTCCCATGGTCCCCCACGTCGAGCACTTCCACACCTGCGGCGACGGGTCCTGGCCGTCCTTCAGCTGCAGCAACGCAAAGCTGACTTCATCCGACATGCCCTGGAGCTGCGCGAAACCGACCGGCACCGTCGGGAGACCATCCTTCATTCTTTGTTGGTGCAGCTTGTGGGCCGTGACGACGCTGTGCTTGTTGTGGCTGGCGAGGAACAGGTTCAGGGACGGGAACGGCTTGCCTCCCGGTGCACCGTATTCCCCAATCTGCCGCCTGAGGGCTCCCTGGGCAATCATGTTGTAGGCGTCATCTGTGTCCTGCTTGGTATCGTGGATCAGGGATCGCTCGTCCGAGCCGATGTAGGCGCCTCTGACGAGCTTCAAGCCAAGGGTGAAGCCTTCGTTGTTGGCGAGCTCAAGATGCTTGGCGAGGGTCGCCGGGGTGCTCTTCAGGTATGCTTGGTAGGTCTGGTAGATGGTTGCGTAGCCGTCGCGGTTGTACTTGCGCATCAGTTCGAGACCAGCTCTGAAGATGCCCCACTGGAACTTTTGAGATTCGGCGTCGAGCAGGAGACGGATACCCCTCTCCTTGCAGCGGATAGAGACCTCGTCAAGAGCATCCATCATTTGCTGAGGAGGAAGCTCGTCTGCTGCAAAAGCGGCCGTCACTCTCGGTCCACCGCCAGTAAGTCTGTTTTCGCGATGTTAGCGGGCTGTTTCGGGAAAGTAAAATCCAGAAGGTGGTAGGGACTCACTTTAACGCCAGCTGATCACCCTCGCCAAGCAAATCCACCGTCTCCAACGCTCCTTTCCTCCATACTTCAATGTTGGAGCAGTTCCCTGACTTTGTGTCCTTTTCCGCATCGATACCGAGGCCATGCTCGGTGCCGGTCTTGTGATCAAAAACAGTCTCTTTCGCATATGTGAGAATTGTGCCACGGAAGCCCATAAATCTCAGATGCCGCATAGTGTCCTTTGTCTCTGCTGGTGACTCTCCTGCACAGAATTGTCTGTAGAAGAGCGTCTTCAGGACAGAGTGTAGTACGGGATTTCGGTCGACATCAAACAGGAGGCTTCTGTTTGGTCTTGTGAGGAAGGAGAGAACTGATAGAGATGGGCCGAGGAGGTATGGCTTAGAGGATATCGCAGAGACCAGCAGTGATCTCAAAAGGACTGGTGTTGGAAGAGCTGATAGTGTGGCGGGCTTGCTTGGGGAGAGCGTCTTCTCAGCAACTAGAGAAGTGGCAGAGGCATGCCTTACCCTCATAGGGGTCAAGACTGGTCTCCTTGAGAAGGCAGTAGAGGCATGGCGATTGGAACGAGTCCATGTGTTGATAAGTGGTGCGCGGGAAGACATCTCAAAGACAAACTCTCGCTGATAATTTGGGTATACTGACTAGACTTGCAACTTCTTGGTTCAAAGAAGGTGCGCCTTCTTTATCATAAAGTGTATCGTGACAAACTGACAACCCAGCCATCCGATTCGGAACTCCTCATCCATTACGAACACATGATCACTACCCCCCCCCCCCCCCTTCTCTTACACGTCCGCCGGTACCCAATGCGTATACTGACTGATCCAGGAAACTCGAGCCTTGACCAGGGCGGTAGTTGGGCTGCCAGCTTATCGATACCCCGCTCTTTAACGCGGGGTAAGATAGCCCATCTGTCTTGGGTCTTCGTATCACAAGATAGGGGTGCATGCAGCATGATGCCAAACGCTGAGCTGAGATCTAGACCCCCAAAACCAATCGGCCCCTAAATCCGATGGTCTTCAGTGTGGGGTAGGTTGGCGTTTGGGTGTGGCCGGTAGCGCCTCCGTTGGTGCTGGGCACGACCGGGAGACGAGACCGACGAGTATCTGGAAGTATCTCCCGTTGTCAGTTGACTCGGATCTGAGATACTGCAAGCGGCGCAGCAGCAGGATCCAAGGCTTATCTCGATCCTTCCGTGACGAATTCAGTAAAGGAAGGGATTGCTCTGTTGTTGTTTAGTCACGAATATCACTTAGACCGGGCCGGCATAGAGACTATAGTTCGATGCATGATTCAGTGTGTATGAACATGGTCCGTTCCGACAACGGCGACTGACAGGGGTTTCGAGTTGATAAGCCATGCCTCTGAGTTGGTTGTCTAAGGCATTCTCTTACCACCTCTGGTTGCCTGTCCTACTTCTGAATTTGTCTTGTCCTCTGCATACCGCTTGTACACATCAATGTAGGCGTCTCTGTCGCTCAGCGTGTCTTTGATGGTTTGTTTCCCTTCAACAGCATCATACCATTGGCGCCAGCGCTTCCAAACCGCATCATCTTCGCCACCCTTTCCTTCGTGTGGCAGTCCAAGCCCACCGGGCTTGTAGTGGTCAAACAGAAACAAACGCATCGCCCATGGTGCCAGCATAACGTCGACGAGACCAAACGTCTTCCCCAAGAACCAAGGGCCTTCAGGGTCAAGCTCCTTAGCGAAAGTTTTGAGATGACCCAGGAACTCGCTGCGGGCTTCGTCGATGGTGAACTCCTTCTTAGGAGTATGCTGGATGAACTTGTAGAAGGCTGGCACAATGCGCGAGTTGATGTGATCGATCCACAATCGGCATCTCGCCCGTTCGTAAGGCTCCTCCGGGAGAAGATGCGGTCCGTAGTTGTTGCCCGCATAAGCCTCTTCTAGGTACTCGCAGAGAACCGTGCTGTCGTACAGCGGCTTCTGCTCGTTGCCCTTCACGTCAACCGGGACAGCCAGAGTCGGAACGAGCCCACGCGGGTTCAATCTGAGGAATTCTGGGTCTTTCTTGTAAGGGTTGATCTCGATGTACTGGTATGGAATTTGCTTCTCATGCAGCACAATCCACGTGCGCTGCACAAATGGGCAGAACCAGCCAGCGTAGAGTTTCAGTGCATGTTCGTCTGAATGCTTGGCGACGAGTTGGGCGGCTGCACCTGTGGCGTTCGGGTAGATTGATGTGTCAACGCTCGGCATTTTACCTGATGCTCTGTTCAGACTGCGTTATCAGTTGAGATCCGGTGATGTCTATGAAGAGTTCCGTCCCTACCTATGTAATGAGGAGGAGTTGGTTATGGTGTATGACGTGACACCAATCATGACGTGATGGTGATTTGGCAGCGCCGAGTTAGTGGGGGCCGAGCGGCAGCTGTCGGTCCAGTTTCGGCTCCGACGGATGCAGTCTGATCCACTATCGCCCAAATAGCACAACTCTTTGTAGAATCAAAGGCTTACCGTCCGTTATATGTTGTCGAAAGATAGTTACGACCAGCAATAGCAGAACAATAACCAGTAGTAATTAAAGCTCAATATGAGAGCTAGTTACAACAGTACCTTAGCCTATGTATCTAATAAGACTACATCTAAGGCGCTGCTATGTAGAACTAGAAATAGTAGGCTAGACTATGCAATTGCTGGCCTTTTGACTGACTTGACTTGGCTTACTAGACTCAGTTGACTGGTACAACTTCGTCATTGTCTATCTTCTGCGCAACCTGAGTGTATCTCCATCGGCTGAAGTACGCCGGTGTCTTGCCCTCTCCGCCATTGTTCGTTGCATATGCTCCGACGATTGTGCCTGTAGTAAAAAGGATAAGTATAGCAACCGTGAAAATTCGAACCAGAAGCAGCTGTACTCACCAGTGAATGGACCGCTACCTCCAGAGACGATCAAACCGCTTGCAGATCCGATTTGAACGTACTCTTCGGGCTTAGAGATTGGAGCAGCTCCGAAAACGTATTCAGAGTCGCTAACAGCCGAGGCGAATAGACGCACCGGATCAGACCGCCAGGCTTTTGGAACTGGGAGAACTACCTCCTCTGGCACGGTGATGTTGGGCTTTCCAGATGCTTCGACACGGAATCTAAAGTGCGGAATCAAAGTTGTGTTGGAGCAACCTGGCAAATTGACGATTCCAAGATCAATGTGCTGAACCTGGGTCAGGAACACCGTGACGCCTGCCTCTTCCTCTTCTACCTCCGGCTTGAAGTCAACATCGACGGTGTAGTTGAACAACGTGGCACTCTGTTTGCGTGCGATGAAGCCGAGGCCATCCTCTTGAGGATTGAAGTCTGGTGTCCCCGAAAGATTGACGGGCGAAGGCGATATTTCAAGTGTATTCGGATGTCCATCGGGAGAAATGGCAAACAGGGACTCTTTGGGAGGGCGCCAGAAGACGAAGTGCCTGGGGATATCTGAGCCAGGTGCGAAGTCGACAACATCGGGCTCGTCTGCCCAATGTCCATCCCCTGGGATATTCTTGTTTGTTGGAGGTAGTGGTCCAGTCATCGTGCCTCGCACCCTGTCCAAGACTGGCCACTCGCCCTCGTCCCAAGTGACGGCGAAAAGGACTGTCTCTCGCCCCATAGGATAGTTCTCCCATGCTGGTCCAGATCTAGTGGCAAGAGCAACGCCCCACCAGTTTCCAGACGCATCCTGGAACAGGTCGGCATGTCCAACCGTCTGGAAATACTCGTCTGTGTTTTTGGCAGTGAGGATCGGATTACCTTCAAAACCTTCATAAGGCCCTCCGATCTCCTTTCCGCGAGCAATAGTGACGGAGTGATTTGTCTCTGTACCGCCCTCTCCGATCAAGAGGTAATAGTAGCCATCTTTGCTGTACAAATGAGGTCCTTCCGGATTACGGTCTCCAGTTCCATTTCAGACCTTGAGTGGTTCCGTCGCAGAGCCTGTCGTGAGATCAATCTCGCTAATGTAGATTCCCGCAGCAACGGACATATACACCTTGCCAGAATCCCAAAAGATGTCTGGATCGATGTCGTCTGCCGGATTCTCGATGTGAAGGGGACCAGTCCAAGCGGAGTCGTCGTACGGGTCCTTGGTCGTGAACAAGAGAATCTTCGGCCCCCAGCCTTCAAACCACGAGACGTATGATGTGATCAGGTAGAAGGTTCCCTCATGATATCTGATAGTTGAAGCCCATATGCCCTCTGACTGGCCCGAGTTTCTGTACAGTTCCGGCAGCTGATCCGCCTTCGTCAAAGCGTTGCTCGCATGCTTCCAGTTGACTAAGTCTTTGCTCGCGTAGACGGGCACACCAGGGAAGGCCAAGAAAGACGACGTCGTACAGAAAAAGGTATTATCTAGCTCTTTGACGAATGTGCAACTGGGATCGGAGTTCCAACCTGGCAAGATTGGATTGTGGAAGGTCTGGTTGACCTCCGCCTGGCCGTGAGTCGCCAGCGTGACTACGAACAGCCCTGCGAGGCTGAAGAATCGCATTGAGTTGAGATTGGAAACGTAACCCGTGGAATTAATGTTTTCAAACCTATCAAGTGTTTTTTTTTTCAAAACCTAGCTATTTCTGCATCATCCGTCATTTAAATACGTTACTTATCCTACCGTGGTCCATTGAGTCGCTCCAATGAGACGCTGGATATGCCGCTCAAAGTACCGCTTGTCGGTTATCTTTCTAAGTACATACGAACCCGAGAACGAGACAAGAAGATATTCCGCCAATTCCACCGCCAGACCGGCAAAACTTCGACGGCAGTTCATGGTTGGCGAGCGGGGTTGTAGGTGAAATGGTCGGAAAATCGATCGAAACCCCGCATTCACCCCCGGAAAACCCGCCGGATGGCGTGCCGCTGGACCGTCGCGTACCGGAATGCCACCCAATGACCTCATCCATCGCACTTAATGTCCGCGTCCTCGGATCTAAACAAGCTTCGAATATTTATGGAGACTCGCATTTTCGACGAAGACAATGTATGTACAGTAACCGACAAACCCATCGTCGCTCCTGCTTAGACCAGGCTGAATTGAGAGCACCAATCAACCCAAAGTTGAAAACTGAGTTGTTTGTTGTCTCATCGAAGCGACCCTTTGAGCCCTATAAACATGCCCTGCCCAATCGCTGTGAATAGGCGATTCAATTGTGTCAACGCAATGACCATAGTTGAAGGGTTGCCTTCTCATGATCAGACTCTTGAGTGCTATACATAATACTGCCTAGAGCTTTTCTCCGCTGAAGGCACACCATCGTCTGATCTCCCACGCGTTGATCGGGGCCGTCCGCTATTGCGTCTTGCAGTATTGGGATAGAGACAGCCAGGCTGGTCTCAGGCATCACTCTCATCTTTGCAAAGGTTCTGAGGTAGCTGGTGGACAGTTTCGCCTTCTTCAATCCTTCAACATAATTATGCTTGGCTTTTTCCTTCATCCGCAGACTCTGCATACTCACCATGCGGTGTTCATAGTGCGAAACAGCCAATGCTGTTCACCGATCGTGTTTCATTGCACTTACTCAACGATCATGATCGACGAGGTTACACGAATCAGCCGTGGGCCAATGATATACCTCTCTATTGATACGTCTCTATCTCATGCACATCTGAATCAACAAACACTTCTCAATTGGAAGCGAGTGAATGCACTCTAATAACGGCGGATGCAGCCTATCACGGGCGAGAGATTTGGAAGTAACGTTCCAAGTGCCTTTTGTTTGCTGCCAGCCGGTTACACAAGGTATGACGCGTCCGAATCCCATGAACCCAGTAAGCTGTCAGGCGATGACACCTGCGTCTTGGAATGTGGAAAAAATCCCTGGGAAGTGCTCAAAACCTCGCTCACCGCTCCATTGACACGCGCAAGCCGCTTAATTCGCCACTGAATCGAATGCTTTGCCGCTTCCCAAGAGGATGTCCCGTGTAGGAGTCTTCATATCAATAACTCCAGCAATCTAATTTGATTAGCGGCGGTGAAGGTCATGATCTCACTGCGACGTTGGTGGTGTTGTCCACAACATCATCGTCAAAATCAAACTATCATCGTCAAAATCGCATATGGCTCATCAATCGTCATATAACATGCTAGCGACTCAGGTCCCACAACCCCGTGTTCGCTTTGAACTGCCAAGGATAACCTAGCTGCTGCCCTGCGTAAATTGCAGCCACGCTGCGTGGCTCGTAACGACGGCACTTGCTGGAAGGGTGCGACGTACGTGCGGAGAAATGCCACGGGATCTACCATCCGAGCTCGTCCCGCGTTTTAATATGGTTCCTGCATGCATGAATGTTAGTAAATCGACGGACGGGATTGGTCCGGAGTGACTGAATACACCGAAACGCCCATCCCAAGAGCCTATACTCCCTGTGCATTGAGCAGCCCATCCCATCTACAGACGAATTAGGTGCAGTTCCGGGAGGCAGAGGTGTGTTTGTTGGGAGACTTGGGCGAACACGCGTTCGCTATATAATTTCTCGAGAGTTTTCACCTTCATCACCATTCAGGCGGGGTCGCTACACATTGCACACTGATATTCACGATGTTGAAGGCAGCCGATCTCACGGGCGCGCTCGCGGAGCACTACGTACCGATCTTGAAAATCATTCTTGTCACAGTAAGTGACGCAATCGGGTGGCATGGAGAGACTGATGGGCGAGCTCTCTAACCAGCTGTTGACAGGCTGTCCTTTGGCAATTGCTTCAGGCAGGATATAACGTCTTCTTCCATCCCCTTCGCGACTATCCTGGGCCTCTACTGCAACGTGCTAGTTCTTTGCCTTGGGCGTTTCAAAATGCTATCGGAAAACAGGCTTTCCTCACTCAAAAGCTGCATGACCGGTACGGGCCCGTCGTTCGGATCAGCCCGAACCACTTGTCCTTCACGCAGCCAGATGCGTGGAAGGAGATTTACGGTTTCCAGCCTAGCAGCAAAGGATCAACTGAGATGAACAAATCCAAGATCTTTTCAGAGACTGTGGAAGAACTACCTAAAAGCATCATCAATGCTGATCGAGAGGAACATCAGCGACTGCGACGAGCACTGGCTCACGGCTTCTCAGACGCCTCCATGAGAGAGCAGGAGGGCATGATTATCAAGTACATTGACAAGCTCTCTGATAGACTGAAGGAGTTTGCCGATGATGGTACAAGCCCTCAAAACATGGCGGGCTGGTATAATTGGACAACCTTCGACGTTGCGGGCGACCTCATCTTTGGGCAGTCATTCCAATGTCTCGAACGCGCTGACTATCATCCGTGGGTGGCCTTCATTTTCGGAGCGATCCGCTTCGGCTCAGTCATGACTTCCGTAAAGTACATCGGCTTGAACTTTGTTGTGCAGGCGTTATTCAAGATGGGTGGAATGAAGGCTATGAGCCAAGTCCGGGAGAACACGGACGAAATGATGCAGAACAGAATGCGCATGACTGACGATCGAAATGATTTATTTGAGGGCCTTTTGAAGAGACGAAAGGAGTGGGTAAGTATCATCAGGACTCACTTAGTGCCCTCCTTATGTGAGACTTGAGCTGACCGACCCCTTACTGAAAGAATCTGTCATTCGACCAACTCTCTGCAAACGCACTCATTCTCGTTCTAGCAGGTTCAGAGACAACCGCGACCACCCTGTCCGGCACCACATATCTCCTACTCACTCATCCAGAAGTCTACGAAAAGCTCAAGAAGGAAGTCCGATCTGCCTTCAAAGACTCAAGCGAGATCAACATTGGCTCAGTCAGCAAGCTGTCATACATGTTAGCGGTACTGAACGAGTCTCTCAGGCTCTATCCACCAGTGACCTCAGGTATCATCCGAGAGGCGCCAGAGGGCGGGTGTCGAATTGGTGGACAACACATCCCTGAGGGCGTAAGAAATCCAAACCCGAATCAAAATCATAGACGGCTAACGATAGTCAGACACTTGTTGAGATCCAACAGTGGTCCTCAAACCACAGCCCCGATAACTGGCCAGATCCATGGAAGTTTGACCCTGAGCGCTTTTTGGAGAGTGAGAAGACAAATGTGAACCGTCTTGACTCTCTGCAGGCGTTTAGCGTGGGACCTCGCAACTGTATTGGCCGCAAGTAAGCGTCCCTCTGTAACCTCGAACGTAGTGCTATTGCTAAAGTTTGTGTAGTCTGGCATATTCCGAAATGAGAATGGTTCTGGCCAGGGTTATCTTTGACTTCGATATGGCTTTAGCCCCAGGCAACGGGGATTGGATCAAGCGGCAAAGAGCTTATGGACTTTGGGACCGAGTCCCTCTCAACGTGTACCTGAAGCCCGTCGCACGTTGAGAGAAACCTTGAGTCACGAAAGAAGAGAAAGATTCTCGAGCAGAGACTGGGAGAGTTGTGCTTTTTTCTACATGAGACTAGTAAGCTTCAAAAGTGAATTTGGTACACCGCAAACTCCAAAGGATATGTCTAATGCGCGTGATGTTCCCCTACACCATCCCAAAAGAACGAGGCCGCGTCGGTGTTGAGAAGCACGTTCCCATCGAATCCTTCAAATCCAGAGTTATGAAGACCGGGAAACAAGGTGGAGTCTGCTGTGGCGGTTGGAAACGACTCCGGAAAGGATTCCGCCTTGCTTGCTGGGAAGTTGCCACTGCCCCGAAGCCTCTCGATCACAACTGGTGTCTCGATGCTCTGGCCAACGTTGCGGAACGCCAGCTCGCGTCTTTGCCATCCAGCCAGCAAATTCTCCGCACGTTGCACGTTCTCCCGCTTGCTGAGATCATAGAGCTCCGGGTGGTAAAAGTAGACTCTGTCGATGGCTTTCCACGCCCTATCGACCAAAGTTCCCACCGGCTGCCACTGCAACAACTCGATCATGACAGAAAATGCGTCTGCTTGGAGGTGAAGCTTGGGGTACCACCGGAACCGGTCGTCGATAGTGTCGTACCAGTTTAGGTCACTCTCGAAGTGGATGACCCAGAGCCTGAATAATGATTGCTGGCCAGCAAGGCTATCCGCGTCCTCCTTCCAGGGTTCTCGAGCGTGGGCTATCATGTCGCGCATCCGCTGGGCCACGAGAGGTCGAAGTTTGCAGGCCAAGACGTGTATCCCTCCAATGGTCGGGTTACAATATCGCTTCTCTGCCAAGATGAGTCGTTCTTCAAGCTGGTCCACTATCACACGGTACTTGTCCAGGGACTGTGGTCCTTCAATGGCCTTTGATCTATCCGCATTCAGATCTCCCTGGCCTAAGACGACAGATTCGAATTCCGGGACGGGGTTCTCGCAGAAGAAATGCCGTGATTCGTACAACATTAGGCAGAATGCCATCTCAGTGGCGCCTTCTCGGGACCTTAAGGGCTCTAAGGAACCAGGCAGGAGGTCCGCGTCGTTGAGATTACTGGGCAGCCTGGTGTCCCAATTTGGCGGCAATAGCGTATCGCAGAATCCTGCGAGAACGGCGTATTTAGTTTCGAGCATGATGATTTGCCACCATATCCGTCTGCGCATCTCGGTCTCGAATGGTGTAAGGCCGATTAGCTCTCCGTCGCGATGAAGTCCCATTCTCTGGGCTATCCTGACGAGCATCCCTGTCAGGATCCATGACGCGTGGCGATCGAACTGTCCCTGGAGCGATACCTAGTGTGATGTTAATGGGAAGGATTCTGGCCTCATCCTTAAGTCTCTTACCAAGTACAAGACTAGACATTGTAATATGGTAAGGTTGTATTTACGGAGAAAGTCGACTTTAGATACTGCCTTTTTCAGAGCAAGGCTGGCTTTCCTTAGAGCTGCGTTCTTCGAAACGTTCAGAATCTGTTCAGACTCGGCCTCGGATAAAGCCATGATTGCTAGGACGTTAATAGAACAGAGTAGGGCCTCAAAGTCAGGGGCCACATTGCCGTGATCTGTTGCAGCTTCGAACACGAGCGGCTCTAAACTGGGAACGTGAATGACTTTAGTCATCGGATTCACCCGTTCCAAGAAGACCTGCCATAGGCGCAGCATCTCTACCGCGCCGAGGGCCAGGATATCAAAGTCCATGGACTCACGGCTGTCCAAGCTTCCATCCTCAGTAGTGTTTGCTACCGAGGGGGTGTTTGAGGCGCCGGTACTCTCATCGGCTTGATCATTGAGACTGAGCTTCGAGAATTGCAACTGCAACTAAATGAGACTTGCGCGACCCATCACTTTGCAAATGAGAACTTACATGATCCACGACATTGGAGCGTAGGGGGCTGTCCATAAACGTACGACGTCCCTCATCAACAACGATCTTGCCAGTGGGCCTCTGGTCCGGCTGCTTGCGAGCTTCCTCGTAGCTCACGTACGACATCATCGACGGGCTATCCGCCACCGCCGCCGCCGACGCCGTCGTCATTACATCGCGGAACGCTGGGGGCGTCTCACTCGTGAAGGGGCGTCCTTCCACATCGCGCGGCGCGACCTGGCTCAGAAGCGACTCGCACTGATTGAGTCTCTCCAACAAGTCCTTAACCACGCGTCTCCTACCCGCTCCCGCGGGCGCCCGCGTGGAGGGGATACACGGCTGGTCGGCCTAGGGATGGAAAACACCATCTCGCATCAGCACACTGGATCCGGCTCCATCGGCAGGACTGCCCGCTGACAAACCTTGATGCAGTTGGCGCAGGGGGACTTTCGGTCGCACTTGATCTTGCGCTGATGGCAGAAAACGCAGGCCAAGACGTGCGGGCCCTTTCCGGGTGTCGCGTTGCTGTTTTGTCGTGAGACTGGGCTTTCGGATGCCATGAACGCTGGTTTTTTTTTCGCTTGTTTCCCTTTTCAGACTGCTTTTCTCAATCTTTCTTGACAGTGTTGATGTGACCTTTTCTCGTCCGTTTTTTTGTCGAGACGGACTTTCGCACTCTCAAACGATCCGGACGAATGACGTTGCACTGCAATTTGTGCATCTTTCGGAGTAAATTGGGCAGGGGTCAGGCGACTTGTGCAGATTATCCTCTTTTTTGTGGGATTCGCTAGCCCTGATTCGACAATTAGAGGGGCGGAAGATCCTTGGCGACGGACGGGATGGGAGGTTACATTGCGGAGTTTGAGAGTTGTGCACGATTTGTGATCATGTTGTACAGCGGGCAGAAATGTCGAGTCACGCTACAAATTATCGCGATTGATCAAGAAAGACCCAAAGGGAACTGCAACGACGGAAATGGATTATTGACCCAGTGTTACAAATCAGATGTGTTGATCAGATGTGAAAGATGCGGAGAATATTTGGGGTATCGACAACTGGAAATACATGCTCATCTGTAAACGGTGCGGACTTTTCACCCCTCACTTGTCCATATTTACAGGTCCTCCTTGAGAGAAGTCATACTCTGCAGAAAGCCCCTGATAGAACATGGGATCCAAGTCCGGCAGAAAGTAGCTAAAGATTCCCATCACGTCCGTTCCCATCAATGCGCCGGGTGAGACTTGATCAAGGCCATTGTCGAAGGAAAAGTCGGCAAAGCTTGACGGCATGGTCATGGCAGTGGTCGTGAAAGCGTCACCAGGCATGGTCTGTGAGCCAATTTTGGTTAGGAAGGATTCGTCAGGTACCATACAACTTGACTCACATTTGATAGGTCCAGCGTCATTTCCATGGGTTTCATGTTGTTCCTGCTAGACGGCGGTCTGGCGAGAGATGTGCCCAGGTCTTGCGTCGCCGTGGATGAGCGCGCGAGGCCAGATATTCTGATGTCGCCATGTTGAATCTCATTCACATAGTCCCTCGCGATCTTGGCGAATTCGGCGATGAGCGAGCCTGGCAGGGTCCCGCCACTTGCGTATTCGATCCTGCTGAAGTGGCCGGCAGCCATGTCGAGAAGAGCTAGGTTAGAAGCCACTTCCGGTTGGCGCGGGTCGTGGACGACGATGTCAAACAAGACGAAGAGTGCCGTTATTGGGATTCCCGCAATGACCCTGACGCCCCAATCAGTCAGCTGACATATCGTAGTGAAAATCAAGCTTCCCTACCAAGTCACCGTATATGGCTCGACTTCAATCATAGTGGTCAACTCCAAGATAGACCGAGATGCTCCAAGAATTGCTTTCATGTTGGAGTTCTTCCTTGCCAAGACCGACGCATCCTCTGTACTTGGGAGATATACCAAGGTTGTTCTCGACAGTGTCAGTAGAAGGCTGCTGTACAGGTAGTGAACTATCAGAGAAAGAGCTCTGGCCAAGGGAGTCAAGAGAACTTGGGGGCGAACAAGTCCGTCCGGCTTGAATCCGTTGTCAGGCAACGAGGACCTCCACTCTTCCAGCTCATCTGTCAGCTGGCTGATTACATCCAGGTAGTATGAGTTGGAGTTGCCCGAAACGCCCACTGAGAAAAGCGAGGTGTATGCGCGTGATAGCAGACGTCCGAATCGTATGAAGTGCAGGAACCAGTTAAAGTCACCCACTGTTGCTTCAGGGACAAGGGGTATGGGACAGAAGATGTCGCTGTCAACAAAGCTCTGTCGATCATCAGCATGAATCCGCCGTTGTAGAGATAGACACCTACCGAACTCCTTCCAAAGTGAAAACTGGTAATCTTCTCAATGGTGTACAAAATCCAGAAGGCCTTCTGATACGCGACAGCGGCTGTCCCCGTGAAATTGTTGGTCGACATGATCTGCGCTCGCCTTGCTGCCTCGGACATGATGACCGGTTCCACAGCTAACCCGCATATTCCCAACCCATAGACTGACATTGCCGTCAAAGCTTGTAGTATGGTGAGTGAATCGGGAAGAAGCAGAAGATCTGAGAAGCCGCCGAGGGCGACCGAGAACAGCCTCCACGATTCACCCTTTCCTGCCTCGAATGTTCCGCCATCCGCATACTGTGATCCCAGCGCAAGAATGGTGTGATACAGACATGACCAGGGTTTGCTTCGCTCGAGAAGTGTGAGGAAGTTGGGCCCATTCACCGTCGCCTCAAACAGCGCCTTATCTAGAAAGGGGAACACAGGGTGCACGCGCTCGAAGTACACTGGCTAAAAGTCAATCTTATGCTCTCATATCTATACTGAAAGCCCTTACTTCGGATGTACAATGATGTTTTGGTGCTGTCGGTAACCGACTCAGGCTGTGGCATTCGGCGGGTGTTGGCGGTCGAGTCGGCCCGCCTCAGCCGGCCATTGACGATAGTTGATATTCTGCCGACGAGTTCATTGACCTTGTTATTGCGGAGTCGGGTTGACAGCGAAAGTAATCTGCTGTCGGAAAAGAAGGTCAAACTGTTGCGGCCACCTGTTGAAGTTAGTGACTACTGGCTTCGTGATTGATCCTTGAATGTTGTTTGTACCGAAAATGCCGTTGCGCTAGAATCAGTTCAGTACGTGGTCTCGAAAGAAGGGCGATGTTACATACAGGCACAAAGACCAAGTCTTCCGAGTTCTTGCTGTTGGCTGTCGGCGGCCGCCGTGCTCTCGTGAGAGCCCGGTCGACGTACAGCTCTTGAATGCGATGTGGAGGAGATTTTGGCGGCGGCGAGCCTAAAGGAGATGAAACCGACTTATGTACACCAGTGGTGGTAGTCGAGAGATCAAGGACTGCCTTCGCATCGGGGGCAGCTGGGGCTTGTTGCCCGGCGGTAGAGTAGTTTGTTGGTAAGAGTTGGCCCGCAACTACAGGAGGACAGTCAGCACGGAGACCCAACGCCAAGCGTCGTTTTCAACAACGATAATCATCAAAATCATCTCGGTGATGTAGTGGAGGAGGAATCAAAAGACTTACCATTTCGTCTGTGAGCAAGTCTTCTCACACTAAAGCGACAGTCTGCTTTCCGCCGCTTCCCGGTTCAACGAGTGTCAGCAAGCAAGACTCAAAAACATTCATGACTACAGTGTAATTACCACACAGTTTGCACAAGGACCCGGTGGCCCAGAGCCTGCCAAAGAAAAAATGTTAGCACAAGATCTTCCAGTCGAGCTACCCCCTTTGGTGCAGTGAAAGTCGGCCGAGGAAACATACTGGGGCAGCGGACCTTGCGCGCCTTGCAGGCATCACAGGACTTGTGGATTCGGGCACCCGCAGCGGGGCTGGGGCTAGATTCAGGCTTGTCAGCCATGCTCGGCCGACCTTCTCAGACAACCCGTAAGCAGCCAAAAACAGTAAACAGAATGTGCAAGGACTCGGCGACGAGGATGGACGGGCGAAGAACCGCAAACACAAAGCTGGGAGCTCTGATGTTTTTTGGTGTAAGGGGGTGGAGCTCGTCTGAAGGTTCGGCCCTCCTCGTGGAGCGGTGATGGTGTGGTGCTCGGCGCCGAACTGCCGTATTCGGTAAGCCCGGGCGCCCGGCGGTGTCAATAAAACCGTTGGGCGGGCCCCCTGATCATCGCGCCAACATCGCGTCTGGACGAATGGGCGAGGCTCCGGTGGGTGCTATCTGCGGCTCAAGATCGTTCGGAGCCGAGATGTCGTGTTTGGCGAACGTGGGCTGCATGTCGGAGAGTTTTTGCAGGCTTTCAGGCAACTTAGATGCATGTTCGACTCGCACACCAGGCACACGTATCGTCAGCTCGGGCGAGATGATGGTGATATGGCTCGGTATCAAGATTGGCGAAGTTACGAGACCCTGTATTTTCCTCGTGGCATGCATCAATGGCGTCTCCAATGTGTCAAGAAACAATTTCACATGCTCGTAAATATCTCTTACCCTTGCTTATGGTGGTGGGAGTTCATGGTACTAATGCGATGGACACCCTGCGCTACTTCTGTCAGACTTCTCTGTGGATGACCTTTTCTTTCCCCAAGCCCTTTCTCCATCAACTATTCATAATCTTCATATACCCCTTAGGTGGTCACAGAGGTTTCTCTGTGAGCCATCCTGGTCACATTCAAAAATTTCCCAGTACGGCAGTCAAAGAGGTGTCCCCCAAGGCAATAATCTGTAAAACCCCACATAAGGGACAGGATCAAATTTCTGAATCTCTCAAGCTGTCTTCTTTTCACTCATTTCACAAACTCTTGCCGAGGGTTCACTGACATCCTCAGTCATGGACCAACACTTAGTCAGTCCTCATGAGGACGTTAGGCCAGCGTCATCCAACGACACTCTCCGGGAGAAGACGATTCAAGAACAGCACCACCAGAGCGACGAGACAGACCTGGAAGTCAGCGATGACGGGGTCAACGAGCTCGTTCGTGGCTACAGCTTAGAGCTTGTCCGCACGTCCACCCGTCCGAACAGCTCCTTCGTCAACCCCTTCCTTTCCAAGGATCCTTCTCTCGATCCCAGCAGCCGCGAGCATTTCAACGCCAAGAAGTGGACCAGGTCCCTGCTCCAGCACTCTGACCACGACCCCGAAAAGTTTCCCAGATTAGAAGCTGGCGTCGCGTGGCGCAACTTGAGCGTCCATGGCTTCGGTACCGACACGGACTACCAGAAAGATGTTCTGAACGTCTTGCTCCAAGGCCCCATGATGATCAAGCAGTTCTTCAGCAACAGGAGGCAGAAGATTGACATCTTGAGGGAGTTTGATGGTATTGTGAAGAGTGGTGAGATGCTTCTGGTTTTGGGACGACCAGGAAGTGGAGTTTCGACTCTGCTGAAGACCATTGCCGGAGAGACAAACGGCTTGCATCTTGAGTCGCATTCACATCTCAGCTACCAAGGTTTGTTTTGATTTATCCCATTCATCATAGATGAAGCTGACGAGGTTTCACCCAGGCATCCCGATGGAGACCATGCACAAAGCATTCCGAGGCGAAGTCATCTACCAGGCCGAAACCGATATCCACTTCCCTCACATGACGGTCGGGCAGACGCTTCTCTTTGCCGCTTTGGCCAGAACACCCAAGAACCGTCTGCCGGGTGTTAGTCGACAGAGATACGCTGAGCACCTCCGAGACGTCGTGATGGCCGTCTTTGGTATCTCCCATACTATCAACACCAAGGTCGGCAACGACTTTGTGAGAGGCGTCAGCGGTGGCGAGCGTAAGCGAGTGAGTATCGCAGAGGTCACCCTCAGCCAGAGCCCGATCCAGTGCTGGGACAACAGCACCAGAGGCCTGGACAGTGCTACCGCTCTCGAATTTTCCAAGACGCTGCGGTTGTCTACCAATGTCGCCAAGACATCAGCCGTCGTGGCCATGTATCAGGCTTCACAGCCGGCATACGATGTAAGTATTTGTTTCTGAAAACCGGTGCGAAAAAATACTGACAACACGAAGGTGTTTGACAAGGTCTCTGTTCTCTACCAGGGCAGGCAGATCTACTTCGGTCCTACGGAACTCGCCAAGCACTACTTCGTCGAAATGGGCTACGCCTGCCCCGACCGCCAGACCACCGCCGACTTCCTAACATCTCTCACCAACCCCGCCGAGCGCGTCGTCAGACCTGGCTTCGAGAATAGGGTGCCCAGAAGCCCAGACGAGTTTGCGACGGTGTGGAAAGGAAGCCAGCTGAGGGCTCGTTCGATGGAGGAGATCCACTCATTCGAGGAGCAGTATCCCATGGACGGCTCAGGCGTGAACAAGTTCTCTGAAGTTCGCAAGGCGCACAAGCAGTCTCTCACGTGATTCCAACACCGCTCCAAAGACCTCGCAAGTGCTCATACTGATCTTCTGCCAGGTCCTCGAGGTCACCGTATACCATCTCTGTGCCGATGCAAGTCTGGCTCTGCATGACGCGTGGGTATCAACGACTCTCTGGCGACAAGCTGTTCTTCTTTGTGACGGTACTCGGCAATATGGTGATCTCGCTCGTGCTGGGCAGCATTTTCTTCGACTTGCCAGCAGATGCATCGAGCATGAACTCTCGTTGCATCCTCATCTTCTTCGCCATCCTGTTCAACGGGCTGAGCAGTGCTCTTGAGGTGAGACTTATGCACAACGTCGCCTTGAGTACTTGCTAACAGACTATCAGATCCTCACACTTTACGTGCAAAGACCGGTCGTCGAGAAGCATGCACGATACGCCCTCTACCACCCATTCTCGGAAGCCATCTCCTCCTCAATTTGCGACCTTCCCAGCAAGATCCTCTCAACCCTCGCCTTCAACATTCCGCTCTACTTCATGGCCAAGCTCCGCCAGGAAGCAGACGCATTCTTCATCTTCCTGCTTTTTGGCTTCACCACCACCCTCTCCATGTCCATGATCCTGCGCACCATCGGCCAGACCTCGAGGACGATCCATCAAGCTCTGACGCCAGCCGCGATCTTCATCCTGGCCTTGGTCATCTACACCGGCTTCATCCTCCCGACCAGCAGCATGAAGGGCTGGCTTCGTTGGATCAATTACATCAACCCCATCGCCTACGCTTTCGAGAGCCTGGTCGCGAACGAGTTCACTGGACGCCAATTTCCTTGCGCCGACTACGTGCCGGCCTATCCGAACGCGACACCGTCTCAGCGTGCTTGTGCCGTAGCTGGGGCCATGCCGGGGGCCGACTTTGTTGATGGCGACTTTTACATGAATGCTCATTTCAGCTACTACAAGTCTCACATGTGGAGGTAAGCAAACCGTGTGAGCGGAATGACAGTAGAACATCACTAACTTCAGGCTAGAAACTTCGGTATTCTCATTGGTTACATCATCTTCTTCTTCACTGTCTACCTAGTGGCAGCCGAGTTCATCACCACCAACTGCTCCAAGGGCGAGGTGCTGCTTTTCCGCAAGGGGCACAAGTCCACTACTCCCTCAAAGGCGGTGTCTGACGAGGAAAATGGGCGGTCTGATCGCGTTTATCGCAATGAGAAAGAGGTGGTTTCGTCTCCGCGCCACCCTGCGGCCAGACAACCGACTCGCCAACAGCACCAGGCGGTCTTCCACTGGAAGGACGTGTGCTACGACATCACGATCAACGGAGAAGATCGTCGCATTCTTTCCCACGTCGCAGGATGGGTGAAGCCCGGAACACTTACTGCGTTGATGGTAAGTGGTATCAAACGTTGCGGAGAGGAATTCACTCTGACACGCTGACCTTTAATCTCAGGGATCTACTGGTGCCGGCAAGACCACCCTTCTAGATGTGTTAGCTAATCGAGTCACGATGGGTGTCGTCTCGGGAGATATGCTAGTCAACGGCATACCGAGGGACCAATCGTTCCAACGCAAGACGGGCTACGTGCAGCAACAGGACATTCATCTAGAAACCTCGACGGTGCGCGAGGCACTGCAGTTCAGTGCGATGCTTCGACAGCCTGCGTCCATCAGCAAGCAGGAGAAGTACGCCTACGTCGAAGAGGTCATCGAACTTCTAGAGATGGAGGCCTATGCGGATGCCATCGTCGGCGTTCCTGGCGAGGGTAAGACTTTCATCACCCAGACTTCTTCCAAACCCTTGCAGACTAACTTGTCGTGACAGGTCTCAACGTCGAACAACGAAAACGCCTCACAATCGGCGTCGAGCTAGCCGCCAAACCAGACATTCTCCTCTTCCTTGACGAACCCACCTCCGGCCTCGACAGTCAAACAGCGTGGTCCATCGCATCCCTCATCCGAAAGCTCTCCGAGAACGGCCAAGCAATCCTCTGCACCATTCACCAGCCTTCCGCCCTCCTCTTTCAGCAGTTCGACCGCCTTCTACTTCTAGCCCACGGCGGCAAAACCGTCTACTTTGGCGACATTGGCGAGAACTCCCGGACGCTCACAGGCTACTTCGAGCAGTACGGAGCCACCCCCTGCGGTCCGGACGAGAACCCCGCCGAGTGGATGCTGAAGGTCATCGGAGCGGCGCCGGGTGCCAAGGCGGAGCGGGATTGGCATCAGACGTGGAAGGATAGCGACGAGTCTGTTCAGGTGCAGCGGGAGCTCGCACGACTGGAGAAGGAATCGCCTGCGGCTGGAGCTTTGGGGACCAGCGAAGAGATGTCGACTTACGCGACGCCGTTTTCTACGCAGTTGGCTATGTGCACCAGACGTGTGTTCCAGCAGTACTGGCGCACGCCTTCGTACATCTACTCGAAGCTGATTCTGTCAGGCGGAACAGTAAGTCTTCCAACTACCCGATGCATTGACACGATAGCTACTAACAACCACAGAGTCTCTTCATTGGTGTCTCATTCTACAAGGCAGAACTCACGATGCAAGGCCTCCAAAGCCAGATGTTCTCCATCTTCATGCTCCTAGTCGTCTTCGCCTTCCTCGTCTACCAGACGATGCCCAACTTCATCCTCCAGCGAGAGCAGTACGAAGCCAGAGAACGAGCCTCGCGCGCGTACTCGTGGTATGTCTTCATGCTGGTCAACATCATTGTCGAGCTTCCGTGGAACACCCTGGCTGCGATCGTTATCTTCTTTCCCTTCTACTACCTCGTCGGCATGTACCGCAACGCCATCCCCACCGATGCGGTGACTGAGCGTGGAGGGCTGATGTTCTTGCTTGTTTGGGCGTTCATGCTTTTTGAGTCGACTTTTGCGGACATGGTCGTTGCCGGTGTACCTACAGCCGAGATTGGAGCCACGCTTTCTCTCCTTCTGTTCGCCATGTGCCTCATCTTCTGCGGGTAAGTAGACATGTGCTCCTCTGAAATCCACCTTGAAGTCTGACTGCTAACCCCCAACAGTGTCATCGTGCCCATGGGCTCCCTTCCCACATTCTGGAAGTTCATGTACCGAGTCTCTCCACTCACCTACCTTGTCGACGGCCTCCTCTCGACCGGACTCGCTCACAACGCCGTGCAGTGCTCGCCGCTGGAACTTTTGCAGTTCTCGCCGCCCGCCAATGTCACTTGCGGAGCTTACATGGAGACGTACATGCAGGTTGCTGGCGGCAGGGTCTACAACCCGGAAAGCACTGAAACCTGCCAGTTCTGCTCGTTGGCCGATACCGATATGTTCTTGGCCATGACGTCCGCCTCGTATGACGAGAGATGGCGCAACTATGGGCTGATGTTTGTGTACATCGTCTTCAATCTGTTTGCTGCTTTGGGGCTGTACTGGTTGGCTCGGGTACCGAAGAAGTTTTCATTGTCGCAGCTGTGGAAGAAGAAGACTGCTTAAGTCAGAGCAACACGTTATCTTCCATCGCGAAATTCGGGACATAGATGGAGAGGTGTTTTTCAGGAAAAGTCGGACTACGTCAATTTGGATACAGATCATTTAGCATCTAGAATTATAACGGTACCTTCATGCATTTTATCTACTCGCTTGTAGTCCAACTTACAATCACTTGCTCAGGCAATAAGCTTGGAGCATAGACAGCTGTACTTGCTAACGGTCATCTCGATGTGCACCCTGCCAGGTCAAAAAAGCGAAATGAAACTTCCAGATCTATCATGAGGCAAAAAGATTGCGCCGAGGGGGAATCGAACCCCCGGCTCCCCGACGCTGCTTGATGGCAACGGAGAATTTTACCACTAAACCATCGGCGCTGTTGATGACCGGAGCGGGATCTGGATCCCGTTATGGATGCCGGAGTGCGAGGAGCGAGAGGCTTATGCAGCTCGGTGGAACTGGGTGGGTCGTGTGTGAGATGCCTCAAGTGTTCACGAGACTCCGTGAGATTCAAGATGAGACGAGAGGGCTAGTAGGACTAGATAGAAAGATGGATGTTGAGTTGTGAGAAGAAGCTTTTGGCAACTAATGACTTGAGTGGGCAGGTCCTTGAGTCTTGTCGGTCCACTCGTTTAGAAGCCTCTTCGATGTGTTCGCAAGCCCCTCCCGCCACCCTCCCGCGACATCCTGCGCCCAACCAACTTTGTCAAGCCACTTAAGCAGCCCTTCCGCACGAGCCCCATCAGGATGCTGCAGCAGTCCAACTGCGATATCCACCATGCCGGGTCGGTCGTTGACCGCGTAAAAGACGCTGGCCGAGCACTTTGAGCAGAAGTAACGCTGGACGTCCCGAGAGCTTTCATACATCGCCAGCGTACCCAAACGTGGATCCTTGTCTTTAGCCGTGGCTGCGTCTCTCAGGTAGCTGACGTTCCTGGGAAACTTGGCTGCGTCTGGTGGGTTGTCTCCGCCAAAATCAATGTGCGATAGAGGAGCAAAGGTCCACGCCATCAGGTCTGCTCCAAAGCTGAGTCGGCAAGAGTCGCAGCATTCGAGACTTCCGCGGTACTTCAGCGTTTCTTTGTCGACAAACCAGGTGTCGAGGTCCTCTTCCGGGAAGTCTCCGAGATCAGCGCCGCTTTTCAGCTTGAGGTCGATACCACCACAGTGGCACCTGAACGGCGTGATGTCGGGAGTTGGGCCAGCTTTGAGAGTCTCAAATGACAAGGCCTTGGCGCCAGGCCAATCTAGCGGCAACTCTTCGCTCTTCCCGGCGCCTTCTCTCCACCGCTTGACCGGCGCGCCGTCCGCGTACCGAGGCAACCAGACCGAAGCTCCCCCGTCGATGGTGTCTCCGACGTGCATGTGGCTTGCGTACTGAACCAAGTCCTCGGCGTTCTCAAGCGCGCCAGTGACCACCCAAGGAACGTCTCCAACGGCGGGGCCGAGACAGAACATCTGTGCCGAACATGTTCCGCAGGAGTAGAGGTCGATGCTATCGGAGTAAGAGTACTTCTTGAGATCGGCCAGGTGCTCAGAAGGCGATGGCCACTTGACACACGCGGTATACAGCGCGCCCGAAACGTGTCGACATGAGTTGCAGTGGCAGCATGAGGCCTTCAGAGGCAGGTTGGACCTGTAAGTCTGAGCCTTGAAGGTGTGTGCCTTGCACAGACACTGAGCCGTAATCACGACTCTGTCGCGGATGTAGGGGCGAACATAGCCTTCACCGCTCATTTTGATGAATGTCAACTGATTTCTGGCAATAAGGCAGAGATTTAATGCTTTTGATGGCTGGTGAAGTGCTAACTTGTGAATGGCAAGTTGGTGATACGCGGGGTTTGGAGTAATAGAAGGGCGCGAATGACAATCCTAGCATTTTCGCCCGCTACGTCACTGGCGCGGCTCCCTGCAGCGTGTTATCGTGTTACCCCAACTACAGTGCAGCTTGGCGAAAAGCTGACCACGATAGGCGATGGACTCGTAATACGGCTTGACATTATGCCTCTGGATGTATATAACCAGAGTTGCTCTGAATTTGGGGTACGGCAGGTGAAATGTTAAACCTGACTGTTGTAAGCACTAATTGTAGGCAAACAAGTCGCTATCCGAAGTTGATGCTGCCTGGGTAGGCTGCGACTTTTCCAGTGTTTGCCAAACCCTGGAAGGCCACAAGTTTGCAACCCTCAGAATGGTGATGGCTGCATGGTTGTGTTACGCCGAGAGGGATATTGCGCGTTTCTGCGTAACACCGGCCGCCCATCCCAGAGGCGAAACCGGCGACTGCTGGGCCAAATGAAGCGGACTGTGGAACAGGCGGGATCTAGAACTTTGAGAGTGGGGGGCTCTTGTCCTCCCCGAGAAGCATCCGGATTTGACTACAACGCTCCTCTTGAAGCGTTTCTGCCTATGAGTTTTAAGAGTAGACAGTTGCCTCATTGCCTTGCGGAGGTTGACGCTTGTGAGAAATTCGCCAGGGACCATGGTGCATCGAGGTATCGCAGCAGCCACACATGTCCTCAACCGCACCTCCAAACTAACTTTGGGAAGGAAATCCCACATGAAAAGCGGAATTCTTTTTCCAATGAATCCAGTATCCATTTAAGGGGCTCTAGAGGTCTGTCCATGGCGCTTGCTGGGTTTCGAGCACTAGTGCAATCTGTACAATTATGCAGGGTTAGGGTCAAGATTATGCACACTCACCACCAGCAACCCGTTAGTCATCCACGACTGAATCGGCGCCAACACGGGTTGACGCCAATGACGGTGACCGCAAGATGCTCAAAGTGGGTCGCCCTGAACTTCCGACAGTCCTCGTTACACCTTCCAACCTCCAAGCGACAACTTTCTTCTTCTTCCCCCGGTACTGCTGAAGAGGCCCAACACCAGTCCGGCAGAGTTCCATTCTGCGGCTGCACCGGATCGTTACATCTCCAGTTCCAGTATCCAGTAATATCCGGCCCTCGTTGGCTGCCTGACTGGGCGGAATGAACGATCACAACGTCGCAGTGAAGCGGATCTCGGAGATCGTCAAGGACTTCCACTCGCGCCGGGAGCCCTTCCGCATCTTCCACGGCTCCACCAGCAGCACCCGTCCCGCCCACGGCCAGCGCGTCGTCGACATCAGCGAGCTGCGCCATGTGCTGCACATCGACACCGCCGCCGCCGTCGCCATCGTCGAGCCCAATGTCGCCATGGACCAGCTCGTCGCCGCGACCTACCGCGCCGGCATGGTCCCGCCCGTGGTGATGGAGTTCCCCGGCATCACCGTCGGTGGCGGTTTTGCCGGGTCCGCCGGCGAGAGCAGCTCGTTTCGGTACGGTTATTTTGATGAAACGGTGCTGGCGGTGGAAATCATCCTGGCCACCGGCGAGGTCGTCAATGCGTCAAAGACGGAAAATGCGGATCTGTTCAAGGGTGCGGCCGGGGGGCTGGGGACGCTCGGCATCGTCACGAAGCTGGAGCTGCGGCTGCTGCCGGCGAAGAAGTTTGTGAAAGTCACGTATCACCCGTATTCGAGGATCCCGGATGCGATAGCTGCGATCCAGCGGGAGACAAACTTGGCTCATAACGACTATGTCGAGGGATTGGTGTTTTCGAGGACCAGCGCGGCGGTGGTAACTGGCCAACTCACAGACGACTTGCCAGTAAAACACAAGCCACAAACTTTCAGCAAAGCTAAGGACCCGTGGTTCTATCTGCATGCGCGAAAACGCATTACAAATGCAGTACCAACTCCAGATTATGTGCCGTTGCAAGACTATCTCTTCCGGTATGATCGCGGCGCATTTTGGATGGGGGAGTTGGCGTTCAAGTACTTCGGCTTCGTCCCTTTCAACCGCATAACACGACGGGTGATGAACCGCCTGATGGATACCCGGACATTATACAAAGCAGGCCTTGGCGGTGGCAGCCGGATGACTTTCCAGTATCTGGTGCACGATTTATCATTACCATACTCAACAGTCCAAAATTTCATCGACTACGTCGCTGACAACATGGAAATTTGGCCCCTCTGGCTGTGTCCTCTGCGTGCCATCGAGGCCCCCAGTTTTCACCCTTACACGACAGAGCCGGGTGGAGAGGCACCACAGCCGATGCTTAATGTGGGAGTCTGGGGCCATTCGTCAAAGAAGATTGACCGTTTCATGCGGCAAAACCGAGATCTAGAGGCAAAGCTCATGGAGTTGGGCGGGCGCAAGGTGTTGTACTCACATGCTTACTACACGGAAAAGGAGTTCTGGGACATGTACGACAAGAACTGGTACACGAAACTTCGAGAGCGATATAGTGCGACGAGCTTACCGGATGTTTACGACAAGGTTGTGGTTGACGTTACGAAGGAAAAGGAAAGGAAGTCTATTCGGGACAAGGTGGCGGTCACCTGGCCGTTTGCAGGTCTCATTGGAGTTTGGTCGGCAATTCGAAAGTAACGGGAACGCATCGCTGTATGAGCCACAAGTCTCGCGTTGTTGTTTCGCTGGAAGGATTATGATGAAGTCTGTAGAATGGTTAAGGCTTGTTCTGATAGTACGAGCGGTTGCTTTTGATGATCCATCGGCCTTCTGCATTCTTTTGGGCCTTCTTATAGACAGCATGAAGGGTTTGAGCCCACGATGTATGATAGTATTGGCTTCTGCCCATGGCATTTCACACGAATGATTCTTACTGAAATTTCACAGACGGCCTATATGTCGCAATGGCCTGGCACGTTGCATCTTTGGGAACCTTTCGGAGCAAAACGGACATGGAAACGTTCAAGATCATACAAAGCCCAAAATTCCGTGTCTATATGATCTAAACTGTGCCGAAATGTTGATGGACTGATTATTCCTTCTACGGGTTAAGAGAAGATAGAATTCTACCGTGCATGCTCCTGACAGCTTCAAATTGGAGCTGGTATCTCAAGCTTGAGCAGGACTAGAAGATCCGTCGTCATCATTGCTCGTCCCTGGTGCAGCCGGTTTCTGCCTGATATCTCTCCAACCCATGCCGAAGGCAGCTAGAAAGGCAAGGACACCGACTGCCGCAACCAAGAAAAACACATGATCAATAGCATTTGCATACGCGACCAGGATAGCTGGGAGATCTTCAGCAGACACCAGCTTGCGGAACTTCGTAGCTCCAGCCGCAACAATAGCCTCTACATCCGCATTGGGTGCGTGCTTGGGAATCTCCGAGCGCAGGCTGGAGGTAAAGAGAGTGTTGTAAGCTACGATGAAGATCGTCGGGCCAACATACTGCGCCCAGACGAGGAGTGAAGTTGCCTCGGCGAGATGCTCCGGCTTGGTGTCATTTTGGATGGCAATCAGCGGCTGACCCGTTAGCACATGGTGCGAAGGTTGTCTAGAACATCTAAGTTGGCGTACCATTTGAAAGCCAAAGCCTTGTCCGACTCCGGCCAGGATCTGGTATCCAATCCATTTCCCGGTCGAAGTGTTCGGCTGAAACGTCCCGTAAAGGCCGCTGCCAATTGCTGTTGTAGCCGCCGCAAATAGAGCGAATGGCGGGATCCGGCCGACCTTTGGGACTGTTAGACATATTAGCGATGACTGACTGAATGAAGCTTGGATATGGGTCTTACCCAGAACACCAGTCAAGATTGTCGTGAGTATTTGTGGTAGGATGTTCGGCATGAGATAAACGCCGCTGAGTATAGCGCTCTTCTCCTTGATGGCTTGAAAGTAGATCGGCAGGTAGAAAACACCACCAAACACCACGGCCATGAAAAGCCCATAGTTGAGGGAGCTAATGGCGACAATGCGTCTCTTAACCATGGAAGTCGGAATGAGGCCTTCATCGCCCTTGTGACGGTTCCAGAAAGCCCAGACAACGGCGTTGAGACCCGCGCCGCAGAAAAGACCAATGACTTGAGATGATTTCAACGGAAACTGGTTTCCCCCATATTGCAAGGCGAGAAGGAGCATGATGACTGATGGAGCGAATAAGGCGAAGCCGATGAGGTCGAGGAAACGGTGGAGACCTTTGAGGACGCGAAGTGGGCTCTGCTTTGCAATCTGTTCAGGAATGTGGATAATGACCAAAGGAACAGCGACGATGGCTCCAAGGGGCAGATTGATGTAGAAGCTCCATCTCCAAGTGTAACCTGTCGTGAAGGCACCACCGATGAGAGGCCCTATCACCTGGCCAAGTTGGGAAATTCCCATGCACGCCCCGATGAAAGGGGGTCGCTTCTCGAGGGGAACTGAAGCGGAGATGATCGTGAATGATCCGTTGATGATACCAGAAGCACCCAGCCCTGCGATAGCTCGACCGATTATGAGCATTGCCGATGTCTGTGCTGCTCCGCAAAGTGCAGAGCCAAGTTCGAAGGCAAAGAAGAAGACAAGGAATGTCCACTTAAGGACTTGCGTTAGAACCAGTGATTGCATTTCATTGGGAGTCATATACCTTGAGGTTGAAGTGATTGTACATCTTGCCAGTCAGAGGCACCAGTGCCGCACTGGTGTAGTGTGAGTCGCGAAATGTCGATCGGAGTAATCCTTAGCTTACCTGCCCAGATTATACGCACTGCCATACCAGCCAACGTCAACTAGGGATTTGAAGTCGTCGGTGATCTTGGGAATTGCCTGTAGACACCAGTACCTTAGCCATTGCGCTGCGACGAACTGGAGTACTTGATCGACGAATATTTGAATACTCACAGTACTGATAACAGAAATATCCATCACTGTCAGGAAGCAAGCCAGGGAGACCGAAACGACGATGAGACCAAGTTTGACTCCGCTGACATACTCCTGGCTGTTGTCCTCAGTGTTGATCTTGGTGGTCTTCTCCAAGTCATCAGCAACACCATCGATGGATGGCTGCACAGTATCGAAAACCGTGACAGCGTTTTCACTCTCAGCACCGGAGAGATGGCGGTGGCGACGCCCTGCGGAAGATTCATGAGACTGTTCGGGAGGCATTTTGATGGTGCCAGGGGGCGTAGTTGTCAAAGAACTTGATTTAACAGGAGTTTGAAGTGTAGAAATAGGAAAACGAGAGTAAAAAGAATCCTGAAGTGCTTAAAATTCAGAAGCAGACTTGCGATCGACCCGGACAAATGTACCGCAGGACATCTTATGATGTATGGAGAGACTTCATGGTCACCCTTCCTCCCTCCGGAGGATAATCTCCTTCTGTCAGCCTCCATTCTGATTGCTTCTGTCTTGCGACAGCTTCCTCACTCGCAGTTTGTACGTACATGTCTTGAACCGGAGCAGGCACGCGTGCCGGGTCCGCCGGCCCCACGTCAGCCCCGGCTCCGGCCACTACGTACTGCCATATGCGATCCAATGAGAGCATCCAGATGACCCTGTGCTCATGCATGTCCCTCCAACGCCCGCTTCGAGGTGGGTTGTCAGACGGGAAGAATGATCTTTGAGTGCGGCGCAACCTGCGCAGGCATCTGGTGCGGTTCCGCAGGGACGGCTCAACAAATATGACCCTGTTCCGCCGCCGTCGCATCCGCCGTCTAACTGTTCCATCCGTCTGCTCTATGCCGATTCCATCTGCAACCCCAATTGACTTCGCATCGAGCCGCTATAACGTTAGTCAGTCCGGGTCACAACATGAACCGGCCCTTGGTGTCGGAATCTCCAGCCGGACGGGGCTCAAAGGCATGCATGAATTGTGCCAAAGTAAAGTGCAAATGCATCTACCGCGAGTCTGGTGCGCCGTGCGAGAGGTAAGATTCCATCTCTTTTGGCCCTCCCTAGCGATGCGAGAAGTCTCCTGCATGGAAAATCGTCTCTTATTTATCTACTTATGACATTCTCATCGCCGTATTTATGGGTTGGGCAATGTCAAGAAGTACTTCATAGTTGAAATTAGACTAACCGGAGATGGTTTACAGATGTTTTCGCCTGAAGAAGGAATGTACACCCTCTATGATTGCGCGCCGTCACAAACCCAGGTCTCAGGCATCAAATCGGGTGACACGCCTCGAGGAAAAGCTTGATGATCTCGCCTCGTTCCTAAGAGCCGAGAAAGGTCTGCCGCCAGCGCAGTCGGACCGAGAGACCATCGACGAGGATGGCTGCGAGGAAGATGAAGATGATGAGGAAGACGATGCGGAGTTATTGCAAAACCCGACTCCTGATGCCGCTATCCCGACACCTGCAACAACGGTTGCCAAATGGCCCTCTACATCTGAATCGCCCAATGGATGGGACGCTCTTTCAATAGACGAGCCATCCCCAGCTGAGGCAGAAGAGTCGCTGAGAAAATTCAGAGAAGAGACTATTGTAGGCTTCCCACCGTCACCGTTGATGCCGATATTTAGGGTCAAAGGAAGTTTTACTAACAACAACACAACAGCTGTTCTTCCCATTTCACTATATACCACCGCACGTCTCCTCTCAGAAGCTTAAGGGGACGTATCCGTTTCTATGGCTGAACATCATGAGCGTGACATCCAGGTCTAACAAGCGACGACTGGCGCTCGGAGATAAGGTCCGAGAGATCATATTTCAAAGGGTCGTTGTAGAACGAGAGAAGAATCTGGATCTTCTTCTTGGGTTAATAGCTACCCTAGGATGGTTCGTTACCCGGAATCGACGAAACCTGATGTGCCTTTTCACAGTTGCTCATCGTTGCAGGTCACATTTGCAGCGAAGGGACAAGTTTTACAATTCCTTGTTCTCGCAATTGATAATCCTTATGATCTATGACTTGGGGCTGAACATACCTCCCACGGAAGCTCCTCCGAAGGAATACTGCAGTCCGGGGACGCATACCCACTCTGAAGGTGGCAGACGGGAGAGAACCAACGAGGAACGCAGGGCTGTGCTAGGTGCCTTTCTTATTACTTCTATGTGGGTTATATCCCCGGCCTCCAACTTGTTTCCTGTGATTCCAGACTACTCCCAGCTACCCTTTGAGCTCCGTTACTAGCATATGCATAATTACAGGGCCTCGTACGCCACGAAGGGACCAGAAGGGGTGCGTTGGTCTACTATCCTTGACGAATACGCCAGTCTTCTTGTTCAAACCGACCTCGACCAGGACAAAAGCCTCGTCGCTTTGGCTCGGATGCAATTGATCATCAATCAAATACAGAATATGAATCTGATGGGGTCGAATCCAAATCACGAGTTGCGCGAACTGTATACGTCTACCCTGCGCTCACAGCTTCAAGCCATCATTGGCAGCGAGAAGCTCGGCCCGGCTGCATCCACACACCGTAAGTGCACTCCACTATTCTTACGATGTTACTAGTGACATGCATTTTGAGCATCGTTAACATTCATGATCCATAGCCGCTGTGCTTGAGCACTACCATTTCACCGAGCTTCTCATTCTCGAGTCGTCCCTATGTTCTCCACCTCAAACCACTGATCCAGATTTGAAGAGATTTGAGATCTACCAAGGGCAACTGAACTCGGTCAGAGCATGGCTCAGCACTTTCTACACAACGGACGTCCGATTGTACGGTGACATGGCGCTTTTCAGCTACTCTGAGCTGGTCCGGGTGATGGTATCCCTGCACAAGTTGAATACACTGGATGACACTGCTTGGTCGCGGTCTGGTGTTAGGCAAACGCTGGATCTGATTCCGACCCTGGACAAACTCATTGCGGTCTTCGAGCAATTGAGAGCTGCCAGTGTACTGTGGTCTCCTGTCTGCGGGACAGGCGAAGACGAGGCGTTTACGTGGGCTATCAACGTTTTTCAAGGCATGAGTAAGGCATGGAAGGATGAAATGACGGGGCTCGAGGACTTTGGCAGCGGCAACGTGGAGGTTGTATCACATAGCTTGATGGCCATGCCTACGTACAACGCTACCGATGCGTGGTGGTCAGATCTATTCAATATCTGACAATATGTCAGCGTCAAGCGGGAAACAATCGATAATCACTGTCTCAATTCTTAGCCTATGATGAATAGCGCGACAATCACAAAAGTCTGCCGATTGTGTGCATTCGCACTATGAAACAGCGTTGCCGTTGAAGTTGGGCATGACCTAGACATGTTCAGGCCCGCGCGTGAGCTTGAACCCACCACTGACGAGGTTCTGGAAAACACCGTTCGGATCATAGTCCTTCGCAATCTTCAAAAGTCGTGCCTTATTCTCTGCTCCGTAGCTGGTGAAGGGATCCTGGAACTGGCTGGCGTAGTTAGTGTACTTGAACCCGTTGTACAGCCCCATTTCCCTTGCGGCAGCATTCACGCGGTCCTCAATGCGCTGCTGCGTGGCGTAGACAATCTTATCGTCCTCGGCGTTTTTCCACATGGCAATGATGTTCAGGAACCCGAGAGGCCGTTCTTGCTCAGCGAAGCTGGTGGGGTTGCCTCCGTTACGCTTCGCGAACTCGAACTCGGCGCGCGTGAAGATCTGGAGCTGCAACTGCTGTGTTGCGATATCCTCGATGGCCTTAGCCTCTTCGCGCCAGATCTCGAAGGCCGTCTGCATCATTCCCGCATCCAGTACGAATGAGGTCGTCCAGAAGGAGTTGCGGGTCACGCCGCCCGGGAATACGAGGCCGTCGGCGATCTCAGCGTGGTATGCGTTGGTCTCTGTGATGTTGCTGGGCTCGGCACTGTAGAACCCGTCAAACACTGCAGGGTGCTTGTTGTCGGCGAAGGTATCGGCGTGTGTGAGGATGGCTGTGCCAGTAGGAGGAGCGTCCTTGTTGTAGTCCCAGAGTAGGACGCTGAAGCTCTTGGGATCGGTTGCCACGAGTTGATCGCCCCAGTTGACGAAAGCTGTGATGGAGGACGTGTTGGCAGCGCTGTCGTATTCCAGCTGACCTGTCCACAGCTTCCCCTGCTCATAGGCGTCGAAGGTAAACTTAGTGACGATACCAAAGTTGCTTGCACCGCCGCGGAGAGCCCAGTACAGATCAGGGTGGGAGGTCGGAGACGCCGTGACGATGCTGCCATTGCCCAAGACAACTTCGTAGTCTTGGACGTTGTCACATGTCATGCCATGGAGGTTGCTCAACCAAGAAATTCCGCCTACAGACGGTCAGTGGCTGGTACAGAGACTCGGGACAATAGACATACCGCCCAGAGTGAGACCGCCGACACCAACGCCGAACATCCTCCCACCAGGGATGGTGAGGTTTTGCTCTTGCAGGATGGGATACACGTTGGACCAACGACCACCAGGTCCGACAACAGCCGACCTTTTGTCATCACTCACGACAGTATCGTTCATACGGGCGAGGTCAACCACCAAACCGTTGTCAATGGTGGATGCTTCGAACGAATAGTGACCTCCGCTCTTGACTGCAAATTGACACTGACCATCCCGAGCAATGACAACTGCTCTGGAAACTTCACTTGCGTTCTCAGGTGTAAAGAAGCAGATCGGAGAGGCAGAACCCTGGACAGTCGACCAGAAGAATGTCTGCTCCAAGGCGTACGCGGTTTCGTTTCTCAGAAGAACCTGGTTCGGAAACTCCTGGTGGAGGTCGCGACACTTCAACGCACCGTGAGTATACGTTCCCTAATTTCCTCCTTCGCGTTTCCCTCATTTTCACACTTAAAAACACACATGGACGCTGGGATGCACCTACAACTCCGTCACAACCACTGAACGAGGTTGGCTTGGCGTGGATAAACGCAGTGGAGCCAGCAAGAATGGCAGCAGCGATTGAACACGAGAAACCCATCGTGGTTTAGGGGGGAAATTAGTGTGAGTAAAAGGTTTGTTTGTTTGTTTGTTTAATATTTAACGCCATGGCGGCAAGGGCGCGGCCGCCCTTGCGGCAGACCTCCCGAAGGGTATGTGGCGTGGAGGGCCGCAGGCTCTAGCTATATACTCTGTAGTACACGCCTCTTCCTAGCGT